TATATATATTATATATATATTATCAGTGAGCAATATTATTATTCCTGACTTCAGCTGTGCCTTCTAATTTTCTCTTTCATCATTATCAGATAATTAAGCAAAAAATGAAAACATTTAAAAACTTTCTTAAAAGCATAATTTAAAAACAAGCTTTGTAATAAAAAAATTTTTTTTTGCATAATAAGAAACATGCAAACAGAAATATTATAGATAATTTGAAAATTTTTCAGTGACTGTCGAAAATAGAACTAAAATAATTCATTAATTCTTGAAATGAAAAGTGAAGCATTCTTCTTATCACACAAATAATTGCGGTAACTTATGGAAGTGACAATAGCCAAAAATTCTCTAAAGATGCACAATTTTCTTTGCTTTTGGTTTGAATGCATAAAATATCACTAATTTTTCTTTTACAGATCCATTTGTTCAAGAAACTGATTTTATCAGACAGTGTGTGTATGTGTGGGATCTGTTAGTATCTCTTTGGGGTAAAATTCGAGATCTGCGTACTGATGAAAGTAAATATTTTGTATTTTAAATTTCTCTCTCTTTTGATAGTACTATTAATAAATTAAGAATATTGAATGACATTTTTTGCACAATCGCTAGTATGCTTTAATAATAAGATGCTTTAATTTTATTATGGAATAGCATTTCTTGAATGAAACAAATCTCATTGTTTACTAGAAATTTTTATTTTCACGATGATGCTTTGCTTTATTACCAATACCTTTTTTTTATGACTGCAGAAAGCAAGAATGACTAAATTTAAATTTCAAGGACCAAAAAATCTTTTTTATTATGATTTTTCAGAGTTTTATTACTTAATTTCTAGAATAATGCAAAAAAAAGTTCTATAGTTATTTGGTGCTTAAAATAAAAAAAAATATTTCAACTTGTTTATAATTTTAACAAATTGTATTTTAATTTGAGATATTTAATTTGAAAAATTGTATTTTAATTTGACGCACATCTAGATCGGCCAACTCTACCACATTTTGTGGAAGACTTCTGAATTTTGGTGGCATCTCAGACTCTCCTTAATTAAGTTGAAAAACTCAATTTCTGCTGATCTGATGAACCAACTAAAAATTATGATTTTTTTCCCCTAAAAACAAAAGGAAATTTTATTTTTTTCCTTTTTTGGTGAAGTGTCAGTCTCCCCATCATTTGTGTTTTTAAAGCTCTAGAATAATGACACAAAGATATATTTTATAATTAAAATTTAATAATAAAGAATAAAATATACTTTTTTACAAAAGGATACTTTTTTTGCCATTTAAAAGCTTTAAGCATATGCTTATGAATAATATGACATTGAATGGTCTTGTACATTGATGAATTTTGCATTTTTAGTTATAGTTAGTTATAGCTGCTAAAATGTTCTTTCAGACAAACTTAGTATTTTAAAAATATTAGAATCATAAATAAAAAAAATGTACTGCTTAGACAATAAAAATGTTTTCACTCTGATAACAGAAAAAAATTCTTAAAATAATCTGATAAGTAAAATATGAAATTCATGATAAGACCAGATAGCCATTTATGCTTTTAACTGCAATAAGCATTCTATTTTATTTAATTAAATGAAAAAAAAATTATCTTAACACATTTTCTAAAGTTAAAATATTTAACTTATTAATAGTTTTGAAAACTATTAGAACTTAGAAGTGATAGTGTGTTTTATTTTAAGCATATTTTTTTTTTTTTAGACAGTTTGACTTTCAGTTTGTTCACAATTAATTTATTTTATATATGTTTTATAAAGAATATATATATATTGGAAGTGAATTGATAGGTAAACATTTAAAATTTGAATTTTAATGCTTATTTCAAGAAACACAAACTCATTATTAGTTATACTCTAAATTTGTAATGATTTTTTTGGGTAAATTTATTACTTTTTCATTTGTTATATTTAACAAAAAGTATTTATCTAAACAATAAAAAGTAAATTATTGAAAAGTGTTTAACTTTATAAAAAATTTAGGCTTTTTTTTAATGGTTTAAACAATAGTTTAAAACACAATGGGTTAATCCAGCTAATCTAATGACCAATAATGCCTAAGTGAAAGATAATGTAAAAGACATTATTAATCCACTGACGGTTAAGTGAAAGAGCAAAATTGGGATCATGCTATGTGGCAAAGACTGCATATTAAAATACTACTTTTATGTACAGAACCATCAGTGGGATAATATATTGAGAGTACATCAATAGTTAAAAATTAAAATTTTTGATAAAGAATATAATGAAAATTTTAAAAAAAATATAGGGATATAAGTAAAATAAAAGTGGTGAAAGATAGTATTCTTCTCACCAAGTAAGTCCTTGAAACTATTAACACTAATTTGTCTTAAAAAGGAAAAACCAGTTAGTTTTATGCATCTACAACTGCATTTGGGACTCTCGATTTAGGTTGAATGTCGAAATCTGATCAGTGGCTGCAGATTTCCCGGGTTTTTTTAAAAAGCAGATTTGGATGTTATGTCCGCTGGTTTGAGCTAAGCATAAATAGAACAAAATAATTAAAATTATATAAAATGTAGTCCATCATGGATTTACCCATCTCTCTGTAATTTTTTTTAGGCATTTTTTATTGTAAGTTCTAAATGCTTATTTGTTTTAATATTTGTAATAGTTACCCAGTTCCAATTATGTCGGAATCTGATCAGTGGCTGCAGATTTCCTGGGTTTTTTTAAAAAGCAGATTTGGATGTTATGTCCTCTAGTTTGAGCTAAGCATAAATAGAACAAAATAATTAAAATGCTTATTTGTTTTAATGTTTTTTTAGTTACCTATTTCCAATTATTTGTTTTTTTTTCTTACATGTGGTTTATGTTAAAATATTGAAGTTGGCTGCATGTGTATATATTTGCATATTTTCTTCCCCTTTAGATACTTCTAATTTTGCAATACAAATAGCTAGAAGACGAGCATTATCTAATTGGTTAATAAAATCAACTGAATGTGATTTGAAGAAAAGAATTTCTAATGTGTCAAAAGTAAATTTTCTCTTTATTTTCTTATATTTTTAGAACTAATGTTTGGAAATTATTTTTATTACTTTTTTTTTTAATATTTGTCTTAAACGAGTCATAATCTTTGAAGTTTTATAAAAATAGTGCCAAGATGATCAAATTTATTACTTGAATTTGTATTAAATTTGGTTAACTCTTGCAAGCCTTGTAATTCCAACCCCTTGACAGGGTTGCGGATAAGCTTAGGAAATTCCTATTTTTTGATAACAGAAAGCATGGTTAGATATTTAACCATTATCTAACCAGATATCTTGCTTAATGATTGTATCTTGATGATTTTGTGAAATTATGGTTCAAATGAACAAAGTTTGATTGTATATTTACTTATAATGACTTGGTCTTGGTCACTTACGATTTAATTTCTTTTAGTTTTATTTTATTTAATAGCTGTATTTTTTTCTGCTTTAATATTTATATATATTTCTCACCTACCAGGATGGATATTTAAAGAAAATTTTCTTATCTTTGATTGGTCGTCAAACAAAAGAAGCAATTCAATTTGCTCAAGAGCATAGAGACTTTCGATTATCTCTACTGCTAGCTCAATCAGAAGGCACTTCTATTGTTCGTAATCTGATCAGTAAACAACTTTTCAACTGGGAAGAAAGTGATGTAAGTAGTTAATAAATTCTATTTGTGTGTGTGTGTTTTTTTTAAATTAACATTACGTTTTTGTCTAATTTTTATCACAATTACATAATTGATGATACAGTGTTTAAATTTTAATGGATTTTTTTTTTGTTTATTTAATTTTATTCTTGTTAACAAAAAATTTAGGTAAACTTGGTATTAAAAATCTTAAGTTTTTTTTTCATATTAGCAGCAAACTATATACAGTCAATTCGCTATAACTCGAAGTACGAAACTTGAATATTACTATAACTCGATTTTTTTATGAGATCCCGACCCTTTTATCTTCAATTTCATGTTAATTATTCTCGATTACTCGAATTTTACTCCCTTTAACTCGATTTTTTTGGATCTCTTAAAGCAAGAAAAAAAAAACCTTGGAGTTGATATCTTGCCCCTTTCTTTGCAACACACACACAATGTCTTTCGCACTCTTCATGGAGAAGCTAAAGCTGTCCCTCTTGAAGTATGTGAACAGAGGTTAAATGAAACGTTACCAAATTTACTTCAAGGATACAGTGAAAATGATGTTTTCAATATTGATGAAATGGGTTTATTTTTTAAATGTCTTCCAAGACATTTAAAAAATAAACTATGATGAGACTATAAGACTATGATGTTTAAGGATGAAAACTGCTCAGGGGGGCAAAATGTGCAAGGAACGTTTGACTGTCCTAGTTGAACGAAATGCGTCCAGGACAGAGAAATTGCCCTTACTTGTTATCGGTAAATACCGAAATCCCCGATGTTTCAAGAATGTAAAAGCGTATCCTTTGGATTGCAAATCTAACAAAAAGTTTTGGATGACATCAGTATTATTTGAAGACTATGTAAGAAAATTGGATCGGAAATTCTTCGCTAAATCGGAAATTCAGCGCATAGTGATCTACCTAATTTGAAAGCCGTAAACTTGCAGTTTCTCCCGCCAAACACAACAGCAAAGTTGCAGCCGATGGACCAGGGTATCATAAAGTGCTTCAAACAGTCTTATAGTAAATGGCTTGTCAGAAAAATGACCTTAAATATTGTAAGCATTTAGAAGTTTTGTAATTAATAAGCATTAATTAAATAATCTGACAATATTTTGAAAGTCCAAAACCGAAACTAACGGTAAGTCGAACTTCCGATATGTCGAAGTTTTTCGTCAGTCCTTTCAGATTCGAGTTATCACGAATTCACTGTGTATATATATATATATATATAAATTTGAACAAAAACACCATCTTTTTACCTGATGAGATAGCATCTACTTATTGAGATAGCAATTCAAAAGAATTATTACCACATCTATTACCTAACTACATTGGTTAACTTTGTTCAATGTTCATGCACCTTAGTATTTTCCCCTTCTATTTAATACTCTTTTGTTACTTTTTCTCTGCATTAGGCATAGTTTACATAATATATTTTTTTAAATTAAGTATTATATATTGTTTGAATTAGGCACCATAAAGTTGTACCTGCCTCATGTGTTATCAAATCAACCAACCTTTATTGTTTACTAATAAAAATTAAAAGTTTTAAGTTTAAAATATCATAAAGAAAGGGTCACTTGTTAGTTAGTATGTCATAATTTCAAACCTGAAATAAAGTGTTGAAATAATGTTACAGTAAAAAGTATCTCTTACCAAAAAAAAATTTGATATTTAATTAGCGACTAACAATTTACTGATGTATTGTACTTACTTCTCATGATGACAAACCTATAGATATATGGTTTAAAATAGTTTATTAAATTAGAATTTAGGTAATGGTAAAAATTTAAATATTTGATATTTTCATGAGTTTAAACCTTTATTTGTTTTAAACTAAGGTGATATATTTACTTATTTCCATTAATTAGGAATAAATCAAAAATGTTATAAGCAGTATAATTGCAAACTTCATTATTTTTATTTTGTTAATCTCAATATTCTTTGTTATTATATATTTAGGCATGTAAATTCATAAGTGAAGATAGAATACTTATTTATACACTATTATCTGGAATGTTGGTATGGGAAAATAAATTTTGCTCCATCAACTGCTGTCAAGATTTAAGTTGGAAAGAAGCTCTCTCATTAGAGCTTTGGTAAATAAGAATTTTTATTTTTGTTATGCTTTCCATGTTTCTAATGTATGCAGTGTTTCTAATTTAGAATGAAAATAAGAACATATTTTTAGTCTCTAGTTTTATGTTGTATTTCAATTACCTTTAATGTATATTTAATATACTTTTATTTATTCTATCCTTTTTACAGATATAATTGTGTGAGCTGATTAGGAGATATCTTTTCTTTATTTTGTCTCCTTATATCCGTAAAAAGGAGTGCTTTCTAATATTGTATTAATATAGCCAAAGCAAAATATATCAATACAATAGTGTGAGAAGCACTCAAAAAAATTGAAACGAAAATAGAACTCATTAAGTAAAAAATATATACGAAATTAAACAAAAAGCAGAAAATAAAATGTAAGAAAAATACAGCACAAAATATAATTTATCAAACAACAAGTGAATTCAAATGAACTTACGCATACCAGAATCTTTCAAGAATGATTTGAAATATTTTCGTAGTAAGAATGCCAGATAACAAAATATGAAAACAGAAGCGCAAGTGGAGTTTGAAGTGTAAATAGAGGGATCTTTTATGACGCGTTCTTACTGCAGTACTGAAAAGCATTTGATTTGTTAGTTACCTTTGATTGACCTGAAAATGGATGTGGGTAGGGTAATAATATTATACTGGATAATAATTTTAGAAAATTATAAAAAAAAAAGAAACATGATTTGAACAGTTTGTTAGCCTCAGATTTTCCCGAATTGGATTTGCATTTGGTAAAAATTTAAATTTAGTTAACAACGTTTTTATTAATAATAATAACAATTTACTCAATGATTTTATCTAGAACTTAGTTAGGTATTGATTGTTTTTTTGTTTTATTGTCAAATTTTGAAAGAGTTTGTTTTTTGGATAAATAAACATTACTACATATTCTTTTAATTCTATTCATTTGATTAAAAATGGTATGTAAATTAATTTTTTTAAAACATTAGAATTCCTGGTAATTAGTTTTTTTATATTAAAATAAAAATAATTTCTTTTATCATATAAATCAACAATGCAGTTATTTTCTTATTTCTTTAATGCCTAAATCCAAAAAATTGAAATTAATGCTATCATCATGATTATGAAGCAAGATTAATTCCTCGAGGTAAATATTATTAAACAAAATTGTATTATCTTGAAAAATGAAGATAAATAAATCATTATTAAATCTAAAAACAAATTTAATATTAAGAGTATTATTTTTTTCATAATAGTATAGAAATAAGTTAGCTAACAGAGATGAAAAACAAGATTCATGTGGAATTCCATAAATTTGAATAAAAATATATTTTCCATTGTAAAGATAATTATGAAAAAGACAAAAATTAATTATAATTTCCCAATAATCAAAATCATAATTAAGGATATTTTTAAAATCATAGTAATACCTCAAAAAAACATATTTTAGTCTAGAAAGAGGAATGCTATTGAAGAGATCCTGGAAATCAAAAGTCGCAATAGAATTAATATATATTTACATATATATATAAAATTTCTTTTTATATATATTTGCTTACAAAATATAATATTTGACATTTGGTGTACCAAAAAAAAAAGTCAAAGTTATCTGATAACAAAAATTGCATAATATAGATAAAATATGGTCTGGATATTCGTTTAAAATTACCTGATGAAACCTGAAAAAGTCAGGAAAATTGAGTCGGAATCCTGCATTTATGCAAGAGTTTAAAATATAGTAAACTTCTAAAATTAATGTTTGTGGCCTTTCTGTTATTCATGTATTATTTAATTTATCAATATTTTAATCTTCTAAAATACTTTTATTTAATTAATAATGTTTGTTTTAGGTACCACTGTAACCCTAATTCTAGTATTCAAGAAGCTGTGAATCAATATGATAAGTCATTTGAGGTAAACATTCTTATTGATTATTGTTACATCTTGAATAAATAACAGGCATGAGATTCTTTCAATTCTTTGCAGAATTTCCGAAATTTGCTCTAATTGTTTTAGAAGTTGTTTTAACTCTGCAAAGTCTAAAAAAGGCTAAAATAAAATTTAATCATTATTAGCTTTTTCAAAGTGAAGAAATTTTATTAAAATTGTTAATCAGAATTTTAATTGTTGATCAAAATATTTGTATTAAAATATTAAAAATTGCAATGATGTTTTCCGGAGAAAAAATAAAATAAAATGTTATGTGCCTATTTTTTATTATTTCTGCTGTATTTTGTTTTACTTTATTTTTTATAATCATAGTTTTTTTTAATTATTTTCTTTATAAAGCTTAGCAGTTTGTTGAATTGTGAATGTACATATATAGTGAAAACTCTAAATGACTATGTAAATAATTTTTTGTGCAAAATAGTTTCACATGCTTGTATATTTTTTTGTAATTTGAGTTGAATGTTATTTTCAATCTTTCTTCTTTTTTTCTCCTCTCTAATGCTGAAAATGAATACAAAAACTAAAAAATATTTTAACATGGGTTACTCATACCTGCCAAGTCTCCTGTTTTTTAACGAAGACTATATTTTCTGACCGTCTAAAAAATCTTCTTTAGATTAAGATTTATATACATATTTTTTACTTTGCTAAATGCGATTGCTTATATTATTTCCAATTTTGAATTTCTCTTTTTAACTTGCATGATTATGCATGATGTATCAAAATTTTACTCTTAACCTAAAAAAATATTGCTAGTAAAATCTCGGTTATTTTATTTCTCTAATGTTGGCAAGTATGGTTACTTTTACATTTCTGTAAATTAAGTACCCAACATTTTATTAATTATTTCATATTTTCCTTTATAGAATGTATTTTCACTTAGAATAGTTTAATTAAAAGCACAAGCTATGATGTAGCTCTTGCTTAAATTGTTACACATACTTTACTTTTGATTTATTAAAAAGGATTCATTTTTACTAAATTTAGTATGTTGTATTAGGTTTTAAATGTATTGTCTTAAAAGTAAATTTTTTCTGAAAATTTATCTTTAGAGCAAGTATTCATCACCTCCTTACCCATCTTACGTGGAAGGAATTGAAATAGAATCAGAAGATCATTATTCAATAACTGAATATGATACATGTTACCATATTCTAAAACTCTACTGTGATCGAAGTTATCGCTTTGAGCTCTTATTGATGCCAGAAACATATACAACGGACCATCTTGATTATAGATTAAGGTAAGAATTTCTAATGATAAAATTCATTTCATTTTGTACTAAATACTTTTCTAGAACTTTTTTTTTTTTAATTTGTCAAATATAAAAAATTTTACCTTTGCACTTTCTATTCAGTTAGTTATAAAAGCAAANATCGGGACCATCGCTATTCCGGATAACTGATTTTTCCGGTTTTCTGAATCGCTACAAAAAGCCGTTTTTTTATTGTTAAACTCAACTAAAAAAAAAACAATATTTGGAAATAATCTTAAAAAGAAGAAAAAACGATGAAGTAATACAGTAATGATAATTTCTAAAATGATGGTATGGTAAACATCTTTCAGAAAAGAAAGAAAAATCCTAAAATCTGATGAGGAAAAAAATTTATTTTTTTAAAAATGGCGGAAAATTTATCGAATTTCGTTCCGGTTTTCTGATTTCCGGATAACTGGTTCTGCACTGTATATTAATCTTTTACTTTGCTAAATGTGAGTGCTTATATTATATCCAATTTTGAATTTCTCTTTTTTACTTGCTTGATGTATCAAAATTTTACTCATAGCCTAAAAAAATATCACGAGTAAAATCTCCGTTATTTTATTTCTCTAATGTTGGCAAGTATGGTTACTTTTCCATTTCTGTGTCCGAAGGAAGAAAAGACTATTTTTTTATGAATATTTATTGTTTTAATATATTTTGTTTTGACTATATTAATACAATTTAGAACATACTGTTTCTGTGGAAATAATCATGTCAGCTGTTATCTAATCTAGATTATATGTTTTCGATGCTAAATTTTCTAATTATTGATAATTTTTTAGTAATTTTTTCCTTTTTCTTTTATTTAAAATCCTTTGTTTATTTTTTTCTTTTCTTTGTGTTTTATTTTATATTATAGGTTTTATTTATTTGCAGTTTATTAAACTTAAATATTCTTTTTCTTCTAATGTTTATTGCCTCTAATATACAGTTTTGTCGCGGGCAGAATGAATTAAGTACCCAACATTTTATTAGTTATTTCATATTTTCCTTTAAAGAATGTATTTTCATTTTGAATAGTTTAGGTAAAAGCACAAGCTATGATGTAGCTCTTGCTTAAATTGTTGCACATACTTTATTTGAGATTAATTAAAAAAGATTCATTTTTATTAAATTTAGTATGTTGTATTGAAAAGTTTTAAATGTATTGACTTAAAAGTAAATTTTTTATGAAAATTTATCTTTAGAGCAAGTATTCATCACCACCTTACCCATCTTACGTGGAAGGAATTGAAATAGAATCAGAAGATCAGGATTCAATAACTGAATATGATACATGTTACCATATTCTAAAACTCTACTGTGATCGAAGTTATCGCTTTGAGCTCTTATTGATGCCAGAAACATATACAACGGACCATCTTGATTATAGATTAAGGTGAGAATTTCTAATGATAAAATTCATTTCATTTCATTTTGTACTAAATACTTTTATAGGACTTTTTTTTTTTAATTTGTCAAAGATAAAAAATTTTATCTTTGCACTTTCTGTTCAGTTAATGCTATAAAAGCAAATAGATTAATAATAGATATAAACATTTGAAAAATAATTTTTATGTTAAGCATTTACAAATATAAATAGATTTGTTCTTTTATTGAAGTGTATTTGTTACATCTAATAAATATATTTGTTTTGCAGTTGGTTATTGCATTTAGCTCTTACCTCAATCGGTTTTAATATTCCCTCTGATTTGGCATGTACTCTTCATTCGAATTTTGCTTCTCAGTTGGAATCCCTAGACATGTGGCACTGGTCCGTATTTGTTATTCTTCATCATCCTGATGCAACTTGGTAATTCAATATTTTACCTTATGTATTTTGATACATGTAACCATATATTGTTGTACACATGCACTCTTAATTGTATTAAATTTTTATTGTATAATGCATTTGTTAGAATTTTATAAAAGCCAGTGCTCTAATGATTTTTTTTATAGTATTTCTATATCTCACTTAATATTTAACGCTATAATAATGTCCTCTGCCAAATCTTTATAGCAGTTTCCTGCTGCTTATCATATTTTTAAATATAAACTTTTTTTGAGGGGTGGAGAGATTTAAGTATTTCAGCTAATGTACTGAATTGTTTATCATTATATGTTTTACCTTTTTTGATTAATAATTTTTTAAAAGAAATTTATAATTTTTATAATGTCTTTTATTGAATTTTTGAATGTCTATTTGTTGAAAGAGTATTTTAAAATATGAGTTGGAAAGGAGACCACAGGTTATTGTAAAATCTTATAAATCCATGATTAAACATCTTACTTTTTTGTTAAAAATAAATGGGATTAATTATAAATAGGCCTGCTTTCATCAAGAAAGGTTGACTTAATACTGATGGAAGTTATGGCATCATAATTTATATCACAAGAAATATTTGCTAAACAAAATTTTCATCAACACTATTTAAAATGTTTATAATTTTTAAATTGTACAATTTTCCTCTGGAATTATTGTATATTTTAATGAGAAATGTTTTCTTGAGAAACAAAAGAAAAGCAATGGGGAAGAATCGTTTTTTTTTCTTTTCTTGAAATCATTCTTAATTTAATTTTTTGTGTACTGAGTTCTGACAAAATCATGAAATAGTACTTATGTATTTTCTTACCTTCCAACAATAAGACTTTTAAAATGTATCATAAGATCAAGTAATCTTAAGTTTATAAGTTATTCTTAATATCACAAAATTAGCCTTATTTTTTGTAATAAGCTTTTTGAAACTTAATAACATCAATTTCTACTTTATAGGCGAACTAAGACTGTGAAAGATATTTTATTACGGCATGTTACCCTTGAACAAAACAAGCTGATGTCTGTGAAAGAAACTTTTTTGCTTGAATCTCTTTTGATTCCTGAGCAATGGATTTATGAAGCTAAGGTAAAATAAACTAATTTATATAAATTTTCAGCTTCTTCAGATTGAGTTAGTCAATCGCCTAAACCCATGCAGAGTTCACTCGAATGATCCCTAACTGACGCCCACACCTAGTTTTTCGAATGGATGGGCTAACTAGAGAAATATACTTTTTTTTTCATTTGGCATCCACTCTTAAAATTTACTGTACTAAAATATATAGTTTTACTACTAAGGCGAAATAATTGTCACTTAAAGAAAAAATTTTGGTTACCCGATTGCAACTTCTACGGATTCGCTGTAGTTTCTACACAATTTCAGCTGTTACTACGGACTACAGAAATTATTACCCATTCTAAGGAAAATTGAATTTTAGTAGTTTTTTTTTTCCAGCAGCTGTTTAATGTGTTTTGAATATTCTCCCATGATATTCTAATACCAAAATATTTAATACCATATTATTACTAAACAAGTTTTTGAATATAATTTATTATTATTTGCATTAATTATATATATTATGATTCCATTGTAAATTCAAGCCATTTTCTAATTGTTTTTATTTAAAGATTTTAAGCCATTTTTCCAAGGTTTATCAAATTACTATATACTTAATACGGTATACATATAAATACATTACGCATATAAGTTAGCACTTTTCACTTGATGATACCATAAGTCTTAGTAGTTTTTCAATTGTTTTTTAAGCTATTTTCACATCAAATTACTTTATTTTTTATAAGAAATATTTTCGATTGGAGTTTAAATTTTTTGATGTGTACGATTCATGGCGGTTTCATTAAAATACATATAATTAATTTCAGTTCATTTTTTCATGTTCTTTCTTTTACGATGTTGTTTTCAACATGTAAATTTAATTGTTTTTAATAATCACTGATGACAAAAATGATTTGCAATAATTCCATTGTAAGTAAAAATTTTCCATTCTTTTTTTTTTTTTTTTTGGCAGTTATTTCTAATTTTTTTCACTAATTTCCTCATTGTCTTTTAAATTCCTAAGTTTTTTTGCTATGTTATTACACGCTCAAATTTTAACTTGCGTAATCGCGCTGACCCAATTTGTCCTGAATTCACATTGTTTTTCGATTATTTTTTGGCATTCATTACAATTTATCATTTTTAGGCAGTTATAGCAGTGATTAATTATTTTCTTTTTTAACTCTAATTATTTCATTTTGTCTTAAAATTGCTAAAACACATTTTGTTGTAAAAATACTGAAAGGACTTGATAACGTTTATAGTTACTACTGAAAACTCTAACCTATTGGAGTCTTTAAATTATTTTTATAATGTCGCTTCGTTATATAATTTGGCTAAACTGACTTGATATATAATTTGAAATGTAAAGTTTTTGTCCTTATAGAAAGTACATCAGTGCTCATTTATATGCAAGGAAGAATTATTTTGATTGTAGGGTCAATTTTGCATTTTTAAGACATCTATGTTGATTGTAGTGTTTTAAATTATAATTGAAATCAGTTTACTCTTAATTAATAAAAAAATTTCAGTTTTAAGGAAATCTTTAAGAAATGCACTGTGTTATGACTTCAGATCCAAATAATTATTTTTGCTTCTGTGAAATGAAGCATCATTCTTAAATGCTTGTGCTGCAGCTTTTTTCTTTATACCAAAAATAAATGGACGCTTGGCATATGTCATTTAAATGTGCTTCTCGCTCCCGTGAAAATGACGAGGTGAGTTTTCGCCTGCTATTTTTCGCTCCCGTGATATTGACGGGCTGGAGTGTTCAGTAGTAACACGCCAATAATTAATTACTTTTGCCCGGAAAACGTTTTATTTCTCATTTTACACATCTGATGGCAGTGCCAGGATATTTTTAAGGTAATTGTAGATAGTTTATTTTAAACTAGTTGCAGTACTAATCAAATACGTAATACAAATACAAAAGCCAAAAAAATAGGCACTTTTATGACCGTTTTCTTGAAAATTAACCGATCGTTAAGGGGTTAATTATTCTTTTGTTTTTAGGCAATTAGAGCTGGCAATGAAGGGAATAGGGCTGATGAAGCTTGGTATTTGCTAAAAGCTGGATGTTGGAGTAAAAGTCATAAAATTGTCTTAAAATATTTGGTCTCAAATGCTGTAATCAATGGTAAGTAATAAAGTTTTTGCTTCTAAAGTTAAGTTTTTGTTATTTTATATTTCATTCTGTACAAAACACAATTTAAATTTTATTTTTTACTTAAACATTATTATAAATTTTGCGAGCTATATTAGATTTATCTGGATGGTGGGAAAAAATGGATAAGTGGTTGTTAGTAATTGAAACATCAAACAAGATGTTGGGATAATACATTTAATAAACATGTTACAAGTTTTTATAAAGAAGTTAGGACCATCTATAAGCCCTTGCACATATGTTGCTGAATTTATGTTTCAGTAGAATTCTGTTAAAAATATATTAATAGGAGTATGTTGTATACACTCATCTGGGCCATACCTTCAGAATTTCAGAACTGTTTATTAAAAATATTGTAATTTGTTGTGATTTAAGTGGTTTATGTGCTTAAAATTATTCTCTCTCAGAAAGTCTTTATGTTTGAAAATGAGAAACTTAATACATATTCATTATCAATTTGAGTGCTGTTTTATAATGTTAAAAAACTTGATGACCTAAGGATGATATTGTTCATTTTTCGAAAAGAAAAATACATCTAAAGCACATTATCAAATTACAAAAGGATAAAAATATTATGAATTAAAACTTTAAAAAAATAATAAGCCAATAAAATTGTACTCTAATTTGTAGTTAAGCTCATTACAGCATTGTATAGGTCAAAGAAAAAGATCATTGCAATTTTTCCATACTTTGAACAAAAATATATATATTTTTCCCCAACTCTTTAGTACTTTTCTCTAAAACAAAGAACATTTACCATCCTGGTATGTCATCCTTAAAAATCTAATGAAGCTAGTTCAAATATTATTCCCATTGACAAACTCGTGGCAATCTGAATCAAGAGATAAGGATCATCAAATTGATAAAAATTTGTTATATTTTCAACAGTTTAGGTTAGACATTATGCTTCTTTATGCATTAGAAGATTTAGCACTGAATGTTTCTGTCTGTTATACAGTCCTTAACATATACAGTCCTTCTGTCTGTTATAAGCAAATATGCTAAAACCACCTTAATTTTAGATCTATTGATTGAATTGTCATGTACCAATGCAATCGTCATAGCTTAAGAGGCTAAATTTTAATATGTTAATTAATCTATGATTGCAGTTACGAAATCAGACACTTAAATTTACTTTCTCTTAATTAAAGTTCAATTTCTCAATTATTTGACCAATTCCCTTTAAATTTTCAGTACCTTATATTTTAAACAATGTTTTAACTATTATTAAATTATGTAAAAAAAAATTATAAATATTTGTAAAAGTTGATTTTTATGTTGCATGATTTTTAAATAAACAAGTTTTATAATTGCATGCAGAAATTATTCATAAATTTTTTGCACTCTAAATTTTAGATATTGAGAAAAAAAACTGATTATTTAAGGATTAAATATGCCTAATTTACGAAACAATGTCCAATATTTAACTGAATACCAAATAAAATTGAGCAAAGAATAGCTAATATTTTATTACAATAAGTTATCGTAATTATAATACTTTTGTTTAATATAGAGCCAGATATTTTTTATTAGAAAACTTTAATTCTCAACTATTTTATGGAATTTATTGATGATTTTAACTGAAAGAAATATTTAGATCAATTAAAATTAATTTAATGGGCTTTATTTATCATATATTTATGTATAATATCCTTTAAATTGATGAATTTTATGAATGAGCCTTATTGATAAGTACAATTTATATTTGAATTCAAATAAAAATATTTTCTTTTCTGTAAAATTTCAGAAGACTTTGAATTTCTTATGAGGTATTTGAATGAACTTTCCCCTCCTGAAAGAAGTTGTACCATTCAAGATTGGAATAGTGGTGGGCAAGTTTACTTGGACTATATACATATGTGCCAGGTTGTTCAAGAAGTTTTGAGTGTAAGTTAAATTTATGTAAATAAATACTCTTAAATTTTTGTATTTTCAATTCACTATCTTATGAATACATAATTTTTTGTAATTTATTGTTGTATTTACTGTTGATAAGCTTTATGTGTGGTACAATATTGTTTGAAAGGGATTAAACTCCTATAGCATTTTCAAAAATTATCTTTTTCGATTTCAAAAATGACGCAAATGTTATTTTCTGATAGGTCTCTCACTATTCATTGCATACAGTTAGAAATTTATTTATTTATTTTTTGAAACTGCGTATTTATGTCGATGGATTTTTAAATAAAATTCTTTTCAGAAGTTAATAAGATTAATCTATTTTGTTATGCAGTTTTAATTTCTAATTCCTGGTAATTTTATTTTAAAATTGTGAATTTCACTTTAACTTAAATTTTAATCTAATGTCCTTTACAGAAGTTGATCGTATTAATTCATTTTGTTATGTAGTTTCTTTTATTTTTTTTATCCAGTTGCTGGAAATTTTGAAATATGTTCAAAATCCATTATTACAATAATTGGTATATCTAACTCCTGGATATTTCTGTGGCTATTTTCATATATAATTTTAAAAAATTAAGTTTTTCATCCTAAGAAATCCATTTTAAATTGCTCATATTGATGGTTCAGTCATACTCGTCAAAAAAAAAAAAAAAAAGGCTTTATAAAATATTGTTCAGCCACCATTTTGCTTTATTACTTTAAAAATTCATTTTTATAGTTCACCTGTCTTATAATAGTGAACTTTTTCTATTATCTGAAAAGAAAGTCACAAAATATGCTTGTTTTTTCTGCTTAGCCATCAACATTGTTTGTAGAATTTAATTTTATTTATGTAAATTTATATGATTTTTTTTTTANGCTCAATATATCACGAACAAACAAACAACTTTAAAAATTCATTTTTATATTTCACCTGTCTTATAATAGTGAACTTTTTCTATTATCTTGCTGAAAAGAAAGTCACAAAATATGCTTGTTTTTTCTGCTTAGCCATCAACATTGTTTGTAGAATTTAATTTTATTTATGTAAATTTATATGATTTTTTTTTTATTTATTCCTTTAGCATGAAGCTAGTGCTTATGACTTAGAAAAGTTTGCGCCAGAAGTTGTGTGCCTATGTAAACGATTATCAAGTATACCTATTTCTTCATTAAAAGACAGGTAAATTTTAATTATGCAACTTCATTTTAAACATTTGCTTACGTAAAATTTAGAAAAAGTTTTTGTTTTGGCCTAATAATATTTAGTTTTCAAAATACAGTCATAACCTGACTAAAGGAAATGTACAGAAATCTACTATTTCTTGATATTTGAGCACTGAAAATGTTAATTTTTAATGTTACCCTATTTTCCAGAAAAATAAAGTTATCCAGGACTGATTGTGCTCCGGAAAAAATCCGGATTTCTGGATTTTTCGCTAACTGTGATCCGGAAGTTTACGGAGATCGAAGTTTCAGACGTTTAAAAAAAATCATTGATCACGAAAGTTTCCGGAAATCAAATTTTTATTTCGGTGGAACTTAAAAACACAGTTTATTTTATTTGTTTGTGAGGGAGAGCCTACTTTATAAACTTATATCCAAGATTAATATTCATTTTTTATCAGTAAATATTTATTATCATAAACTCAAGAAAGAAAGACATGTTTGTAAATTTCAATTACTTCTCCAGGTCATCATAGGTATGTGTAAAATATTAAATATATTTTAAGTAAACTAAGAAATAGTGAGAAAAAGGAAAAAAACCTTGTTCAAATTTTATTCTAAATTTAAACTTTTTTTTTTACTCAAGAAATTTTCTGGAATTTTGACTTGAATCACAATCACCCCTGGTTATATATCCCAAACAAAGACGAAAACGAAGTCTATAATAGTTGTGTATAGAAATGAAAGTTAAATATAAATTAAATTACCATGTTGGAAAAAAAGAGAAAAACACAATAGAGATACATAAAAATATCATATTTGTCTGTCATATTTTTTTTTTTTTTAAATGCCCAAAATCTTGTCTATATTACCTTATTGATCCTGTTTATATTACCTTTACTGAAAATGTCTAGCCAAACTAAAAGCAAAAGTTTCTTAAGAAAAATTAGACTGAAATTGCAAAGTGAAAGAAAACTTAAGAAACAAGAAGACAACAATAAAAAAATAAAAGATATATCAGAATCACTGCATGTATAAAAATAACTAAGATAAAAAGAAAATAAGCTATAATAGTTCTTAAAGATATTAGAAATAAATAAGACTCAATAATAGCTAAATTGAAATTATTAAAAGGGTAAATTACGAAGTGGAAGAAAACAGGAGAGAAACTAAAAATCTAATTTATACAGTGCCTGAAATCTCATTTTACCAGTTTGCTATTTTTACTCTGGACAAATATGTCGCACCACAATCAAAGCAGAGTTATTTTCATAATATCTACTTTTAGATAAAATTAAGAAACTATAAACTATGATAAGGAAAAAAAAAAAATAAAAATGCTTTACTGCAAAAATAAAATTTCAAAGTTAAAAAATTCTAACTTCATTTTTTCATTTTAAGAAAAAGTGAGGATTAAAAAAATCTATAGACACTTAAAATATAAAAAGGATTTATAACAAAGTTTAAAAAAAAATAAAATTGCTAAATGGAAGAGAAAATGCAAGAAACGAAAAATCCCTTACATTCTATCCAAATGTTATTAATATCTGTCTTCTTATCTGTTATTCCTATCTTTAAATCATTTTTATACGGTATTAGAATTTATATGGTAATGTGTTTAATAAAAAAGAAAAAAAACTTTTTAGAATATGAAATCTATCCAGCTTTAGGTCGATTCATGACAAGCTTTTTCACAAATGCTTTACATTTGAATTTTAATGAGTGTCTGAGTTTAAACAAGTTAATAAATGTATTTTAATTTAGTTACATTTGTGAACTCGTTTTTCCATTGCAACAAATATGTTTTATTTATTTCTATAATGCAAGTAGATAATCTATAGAATTTTGAATTAATTTAACTCTGACTCAACCAAATTAACTCTCTTATGGAGTTTTATTTTCAAGTTCACTGTGATCGGTTTAATTCAGTTGATAGCACCGTTTGATCTGCTTATCTAGATCATATTAATTTTTACTTGCACATACTTAATATATTCTTGCACTATTCAACCCAATTTATCAAAAAATTTGTGTGAATTTTTATACTAAAAAAAAGAATATATATATCATAAAAAATTGCATGACACATGAAAGTAAAACTTATTCATGAAATAATAACTTCAGTTCTGTTGGTTATTCAATTAAAAATAACTTTTGTTTTTATGTATTAAGAATTTAAAAATTAATGATGTATTCTTACTTTGTGACAAGTACAGAATTCCAAACCTATAAGTTTGTAGTAAAGTGTCTCATAGATTTTGTCTTAAATTATTGTCTGTGCCTTGGGGTGCTAGGTTGTTTTATGAGGCATTCTCTACAATGTCAGTAATAAAAAAAAATGTTTCATTGAAGTTGAAAGTTCTTTTTTAATTTTCTTGTACAAAAATAAATCACCCTTCATGTTAATTTTTGGCAGACTTTTATGTAGATAATTTTTTTCTCCTTTTTGTAATGTTTTTCTACAAATCTCTGAACTGATTATAATAAAGTTTTCTTTTTATTTTCAGTCTTAGTGTTGCAGAAATGGCTAAAAAGACTGCGACTATTTTAAGGTCAATTTGTATCTTACAAGCAACTAGAAATAAAAGCTCTAGTTCCTCAACTAGTTTGTCTCAATCTCTCAAACACTTACCGATGCCTCATGACTACGCTGTTCCAGAATGCAGATTTATAACTCATTGTTTCGCAGATGAAATTACTTCTGGGAATTAAAAGAAGATTTTATAAAGATATTATACTAGACGAAGTGTGCTTCAATGTGTTGAATTATTTACGGTGGTTTTAGTTTTCAGTAATATTTTTCTTTCATGTATATTTGACATTTTTAATATTTCACTGTGATAACTTTCTATTGAATTATCCCATCAAGTTGTATGTATGAATTGTTCACAAAGTCATCACAGAAAAAAATTGTTTTGTTGTTCATAAGAGTAGTTGAATAAAATTGTGAAGTCATTTAAATATTTTTCTTTTGCGCTTCATTTACATTGGTTTATTTTAAGTACAACAACCATCCATAGCAGTTAGGAATAAAGCTCAATCAAGTGTTNCCTTGATCCCTATTAAACAGTTACGGCTTTAAAATAACTAGTTTACCGTTTGTTAACGTTTGCCATTCTAATAGCCTAACGCAAATTAGTTTCCGTTTTCCATCAAAAGTTGGCCAAATGTGTGAACATATTTTTAAAAACTTTCCCCAATTTAAGAACTTCAGCCATCCTCAAATCTGTTCCTCCCAACCCCCCCCCCCCCAAAAAAAAACAACATTGATTTAAAATTGTCATAAAATTGATATTTTCACTGGGGATAAGGTTAGAAGCCTCCTGAAAAAACTTGTAAAAATAATTGGTAATAAAGTTTCTAAATGTTTCTTTTTGTAAGAAATTTCTCTACTGGGAATTATATTGGTAATTCTCAGAGGGAAATTAAATGGAAAAGATGAATGTGTTGAGTTTTCAAATATCCTTTTAGAAAAGTTACAACCAGTTTTCCTTGAACACTAGTGAGCCTACAATAGGGTCCATAACAAAGTTGACAACATAAGACAAGCAAATTTTAAAATGCCAAAGATTGTAAGAATTCTTTGAATAATATGCAACAAAAGCCCCTCCCCTATTTTTTAATATTACATACATGCTTAGAATGTAATTAATACAAGTTTTGTCATTATTTTAGACTAGCATTTCAGTACAGACAGACTAACAACACCCGTTAAATAAATGTTTCAATAACTTTGTAAATGAACAGAAATATCTTACTTCTAATAACTTTGTTAGCATGAAATGTGCTACTAAGAAATTATAAACATATACATATTTTAAATATTAAATTTTGTGAAAGTCAAATAGTTGTTGCCTTTTTCTTCCAGCTTATTTGAAATAGCTTTATCTCATTTACTTGTGAATATTTTTCCATCCTTCAAAGAGTTAAATTTAGACGAAATGCTATTAAATAGTAAAAAATAATAATTCAGGATAAGAACTTTTTATTTTACATATGAGAAAGTTTCCAATTTATTATCTTGTTTGTATGAAGAATAAATTTCTACAGATTTTTAATAGAAAACACTAATTAGTTTATTATTAATAAGAGTTTTAACAATTGTGGCTTTTTTTAGTGGTTTTAAAAGTACTACTAGAGAATTATGTGCACTGTAATATTTTCTAAGAAAGATAATTAAAATATTTCATATACATTTTTATTAAATAAAAAAATCTTGTCTTGCAAATGATTGTTATTTTTTTCTTTTCATTGTTTTACACAGCCAAATAGTATTTTCTAAAAATACTGTTATAAATTACTGAAGAAAAATTTTATGACCAATTCATATGTAAGTTCGCTAGAGAAATTGTGTAATAAAAATTATCAACAGAAAAATAACTGGAAAAAAATATATAAATTGCACAAAGTAAGCAATGAATAGAGGGGATACACTTTTATGCTAATTTCTGGTTTTAGTTAAAAGGAGCAATTTTATTTAAAATTTTTCTTTCAAGAGTAATTCAAATATACATTTACAGTTTCACTTTTTTTGTGTACATTTCTCACTTTATATTAAACTTGGCTTTCAATGAATGCATTTGCTCATAACTTCAATGAGATAGATGGGATTCCATTATGTGCCACATTACAATGTTAAACACAGAAAATCCACCATCTATACGAACTAATTATTTTAGCTGGTTATGATTTTACAGAAGTTTCCTAATTTGAAGGTATTTTATAATGTGTGACACAATTTCCAATTAATTATTTTTTATCGAAAAAAGTAGATATAATTAAAAAACAAAAAAATAGAATTTATTTTTTATTCCTAATGGCAGATTATGAACAGTTACAGCAGAAAGCAATGAAAAGAAAGAACATAAAGTACAACAAAAAATGCTAACATAACTCTAGCCTCCCAATAACGTTCGGCGAGAAAAGTCTTACCCAGAGTAGCACAGTAGAGTAGATGTGCAGAGTTCATGACCTCTCCAGAACTGCACAGAGTGCATATCAGGGAAGGAACAATTTTGAGTCTATACAGATTTCTTAGGCAGTCGTGTCCAGTAGCTAGGCGGAATTCAGCCACTGCTCTATGCCTTGAGCCAATACACAAATTTGGGATGGCATTCTTCCAGGACTTTTTGGAACCCTGTTATAGAGGTCTTCCTGAGCACGGGCTTTAATAGATATTTTTATAAGATTTTTAATAGTATGAAAGGGTATAGGATGAAAAATTCTTTGCATAACTAAAGCACCCTTTTTAGCCAGGAAGTCTGCTTTCTTGTTGCGTGGAACCCACTGCAGTACTATAGTTTTCTCAAGTGAGGCCAGGTTTTTAAAATAACGGCACTCCATTATGACCTGTGCTATAGGATTGATAGAAACGATAGCCAACAGAGCAGCTCTAGAATCAATGAGGATAACAGCTCTTGTGGACTTTGTGTTAGGGCTATCAGACCAAAAAAAAAAAACAGTAAGAGTATTTTTGCATTATGAATAGAAGAAAAAAAAACATGGAATACAATAATTCTTATCACAAGCTGGACAGTACCACTTGCTTCTGTTTTTATTTTGAGTTACATTTCTACCAAACTGTTTTTTATTGTTAGCATTGTAAACCACACATTAATCAAAATTATGAAAGATATCTGTTTCTAGGCGACTCTTGTATGTAAGAATGTTTCGAGAAGTTGTTCCCGAAATTCAGTGATGTTAATCTTAAATTGTGTAATTTCTTTGAATAATAAAAGTGCATTGATTAATTTTTTATACTATTTAGTACCTCTTCTCAGGCAGTGCAAATAAGTTTTCAGCTGGTCATATAAATCAATATTAGCTTTTGACTTATTGTTCTCATAAATAGCTTAATGTTTTTTGCATTTCTTTTCCATGAATTTGAATCATTTTGATTTGGTATAAGAATCATTACACCATGAGTGTCTTTTCACATGAATATTAAAAGGCCTCAAGTATTTTTTTTTTTTTTTTTTTTTTTTTTNTTTTTTTTTTTTTTGAGGTATTATTTCATGTGTTTTATTCAAAGCTTCTTCTAAATTTAATTTTCTTTTAGCTCTCACAGTTCCTACAAGATGTGAACACCTTTCAAACAGTCTTCTAGCTAAGTAAATGCTCGTGTTATTTTTATCTGTATAAACTGTTCTCCCAGAATCTAGAAGGTTTTTCAGCAATAAAATATTTTTTGAATTATCATATTTAGTGTACACCTAGAAATCATAAGTGTGGTGAATAACTTGTATATTTTTATGGTAAATTTATATATCATTTTTCATACATATGTATGAAAAATAAGATACGAACCCACAAAATGGTACTAATATTTCATCAATGCATATAGAGGTGTCTGGTATAAGATCTTCTTTTTATTTTTTTCAGCTTAAGTGTCAAGTTTTGAAGTCTATCATTGCAACTACTTAAATCTTTGATATTGTTAAGATGACACATCTGCAATAGCTGTTCAATTCTATTTCTGTGCATGAAGGTTTTTACTTCGTTGGCATATGAAATATAAATATTTCAATAACATACCTGCCAACTTTTACGCATTTGACGTAAAATTTTATTTCTATATTTAAAGTGGTAGTAAAATGTATGCCTTCTAAATATTCCTTGCATTTAAAAACTTAATTTATAATCTTTTTGATCCACCACTATTTTTAAAAAAATTAAGCATATATATAAATATGTAACACTGCTGTTGAAGTCTGCATAAGCTTGTTCAAAATACAGCGTATTTTTCTGCCTATAGTTGCAAATTGTATTCCATTTGTCTACCACTGGCGAAAATCATTCCTGAAAGGATTAAAAGTTGGCAGGTATGCAATAAGCTTTTAAATGGTAATTGCATCCACACAGTGCCTAGAAATTTCTATTTTATCAGTAGGCAGACAAGTTTTTGCATGGCATTTAGGTTTAATTTTCTTATATAAAGTTTACTTGGTATACCGATTTGTCTGCTTCACCACATAAATTGTTTCATCAGAATTAAATACGGCTTCTTATCAATATATTGTTCAAAAAATTCTGGTTTGATATCAGTATGGAACTACTGCGAATTCAAACTGTTTAAATTAAATTACCATCAACAGGTCCCCTATCTATATTTTCAGAAGCCGTTATTACCACTTTTTCGTTCATAGTTTAACTTGAATATTGTAAAATAATATCTAATATGTCGTCCACATATAAATTCAAATATGTTCTTTGCCCAGGACCTTGTTACATTCTTAAAAACTAACAACTCAATCTTTTCCCCATTGTCATGTTAAAAATTTGGGATGTTCTTTATTTGTTTTAACGTTACATCAAGCACAAAAGTTTCAGAAGTAAAGAATTTTAGTTTTTCAGATCTTGCTTCAATTATCACTAAAAAATTTTCAAATATATTATTTTTTTCTAATTATGTGATCTTTACCTTTATGAAGAAAAGACCAAAGACTTTTGTAGACCATTGTTTTCAAGTGCTATGTTTAGATATTGTCTTTAGATTATTGCCTATCTTCATCATTAAAAAAATGTAAATAGTTTTTTAGGGTATCAGTGAAATCAAAATAGTAAAACTGCAATATTTTCCAGTTATGATTAACATTAAATGAACTTGAAAAATCATGTAATTATGTTTACTCATAATTTTGAATAGTAATAGGCATTTAATTCATCAAAGATAATTAAAGATTTTTTTTAATTAATCTAAAAAAGGAGCTCTGAATAATAAACTCAAAATTTTAGAATTAAAAAAAAAAAGCTTTAAACTGAGTTTTATAAATGAGACTTGCTTCATTTTGTATTAGTAACACTTATTTGAATATTTAAGCAAGCAATAATCTGTGCAAAAATTCTATTTCAATAGGAATTTTTTAAGAAAACTTATTCTATTTTAGGGAATTTTCTAAAATGTACAAAAACCAGGAGAATTTTAAAACCAGTAGAAACTCGCAAAATCCAGTGGTCTATTGGAAAATCCAGTAGAGTTGGCAACTATGATAAAATACAAAAAAAGCATATAACTTTAAAAAATCATTTTATTTTAAATTAGACAACAATTACATCTTTTCTAAAGGTTTTAATCCTAAAATATGAAAACCAGTAGTCATTATACTAGCAGTAGCTTTACATAGTAACAGCCTGCTCATATTCACTTCTCCTAAAAGAAATAAAAACAAAAGGATCATTAAACAAAAATTTATCTAGGTTTACTAAAAATGATTTTTTCAAATGATACCACAAATATTTATGTACCATATACTACAATAATTCTTAAAACTGAACATTTATGGTTATCTAGAAAATATTTAAACAAAGTTTTAAACTTAGCATTTAAAAGAAACCAATTACTCGCTAAAAAGAACGAAAAAGAAAATTACAATTTATAACTTTACAGTTTGTGGAACATTTTTAACCCCAATGATGTTAAATAGTTTTAAAAAGGTTGTTTTTGCCCCCTTTTTTATGTATACCGAGAACGTAGGGGCCGAGACAAATAATTTGTTTTTTTAAATCAGATTGCTCCTTAAACCAGAGTTGGGTGAAATTGTTAAAAATAAAATCTATAGCATACAAAAATTAACTGGAAAATGCATAAAAAGCACTTTTTTTAAAAACTATTTTTATTTATACTGATTTTTTTTGTAATTAACTTAGGCACTTGTCAAAATACAAAACACATGGCACAAAACATATTCTTTTTTGTTAATGCATTAATTTGCTCATTCTAGAAATTTTTGAAATTTTTTCGGCAAACTCTATATCTTCAGATGTTTTGTTTCTTTCCCATCCCTTTTAAATTCTGCATTTTTCAAACATTTGGTCAAGAACATGTATAAAGACACATGAGCTGGTACAGAATTTATTCAATGGTTTGCATAGAAACATTTTCAGTCTATACAATTTAGTAATCATTATTTATATATAATTTTTCAACCAATTTGACATGAAATTTCCATGAATAGTTGAATACTTGTTCCTCACAACTTCAGCAAGTTTTCCAAGAAGTTTTGGAAAAGTTGCTTGTTAGATCCGGGTAGTGCTTAATAACAGGATTTATGTAGCCTTTTAAAAATTAACCCACCACCCATTTAACATTTCTTTGCTAAATCTGAGCTCGAAATAAATGAGTTGATTATATTACATTCCATTTTTTAATAAGTATTTATTAATTTTTTTTGCATGATTTTTCACTAACTAGTACTGGTTCAACTTTTCAATTGTTTATGCTTAAAGGGAAATGTTTTTTTATTAGTGAATAGAGCTTACAATTGACTTTCCTCTAGTTTATCTAATTTAAGTATTTCAATGTCTAAAGTAATTTTTTAAAAATCGACACTTCTGGAATGATTCAAAATTTCTACCATTTTCCAGATTTTCTGAAAAATGGATGACTATAAGATATAAATTTTTTAAGCAATTAAATGACTATTAATCATTACAAAAGTAGTCTTTTTTTTAAAAATAATTCCAGTTATAAGAAAAACTGACAAGACACACTATACCATAATGCATAAACATGATCTGCAAATTTGATAGATCGTCCTGATATAATATTTTAAACTACTTTTAATATGAAATATTTTTTAAGGTGAACTCCAATTTCATTACTCTTGGAAAAATTTTACTTTTAATAACAATAGAAAATTTGATCCTTTGTTCAATATCCTTTGATAATCCAATTGATCCTTTGTTCAATGTGGTTAGTTATTTCTCCAACAGCCTCAAAGGTTGTTCTAAGAAATTGATATTGGTAATTGCAAAGATGTGTGAAAACAAGTAAATACTTTGGTTAACTTTCCTCTGATAGATGCTTTGAAATCAATTAAAACTGTTCAATCTTTTATAATGCAAAATGAAAACTCATATCATTTTTTGGATACTGTTGATAACTTCAAAGACTTTTAGAAATCAGGGGCGGATAAAAAATCAAAACAGTGAGCTATTAACGATTATTTCATGATTAAACCTCCTTATTTTCTGCAATATATCAGTTTACTCCTATTTGTTACCTATTTTTTAATTTTCTACAGTTTTTTTTTTTTTTGGAACTAAGAAAAGGGGGTAATTAAAGTAAGTACACTTTTGGAATTTTATCTTAACTATAATATTTTTTCTTCCTTTATAACTTTATTTTATTCTTAAATGTAATTGGTAGTATTTATTATTAGATGCATAGAAGTTATTAATTTAATATAAAGTGCAGAATAAAAACATTTAACAAAATGAAATATATAACAGATATATTATATATAATAGAAAATGAATGTGCATTGTACAATTTTCACCAAAAGAATTTCTGAACTGATAATGTTAACTACTTTTATCATGAACTAATTTTCTGCCCCATTCGCGTTGATGTTAATGACTCTATGTGAATCAACATATCAAGTCTTGAAACTGTAGAGTGTGGGATTTAGAAGCTACTATTTCAAATTAATCTATGGCATAGCATGAATAAACATGCAAGGAAAGTTTTGTAGTAGTGTTAAAAATGCAACTGCTAGTTAAACAAAATAACTTTTAATCACATTGTACTTTAGCGTTTAAAAAGAGATAATTTAACCACATAAGTGAAAAGTAGTTGATTTATAAAAAAAAATTTTTTTTAGAGGTCCTAATGTAGTAAAGGGGAAAATAACAGATTTTAGAGGAAGAAAATAACCCTGAGTTCATTTTAAGTAAATTTAAAGCTTTCTGAACATTAAATAGCATTAACATACTTTCCGTTCTAAAATTGAATTAAAATATATTATTTTGAAAATACATTCAAAAAGTAAAAAATAAATTACCAGTTTCCTTTGCAATTACATAGCAATCTTTGTAAAATTCAGAGAACACCACAGACAGTTCATAGAGATATTCACATAATGAATGTAAAGATAAATCTTCAATCACATTGATAATTATTTCTGGAAATCTTGAAATCATTTTTGCAAGCTTCAATTCTTTGGCATGATCTAGAGAAATCTCTGTTGTTTTCAAAGCATTTTTTATAGCTTCTTCACTAACATTAACATTTCTGGCTATCGATCTATAATAAAAAAAAATAACTGTAAAAACAAAATATGGTTATGGAAGAAACAAAAAGCATGGTTAACTGATAGTTTTTTATTAATTTGATCACAATTGTACTCTTTGGCTCATAAACAGTTTTATAACTTTCTAAGTACTTGGGGTGGTTAACTTTTTTCAAAGAAAGACTACTAGAAAAAAATTTGAGCTATCAAGGAATGAAATAAAGTATAATTTGTTGATCTCAATTTAGTTGTTTGATGTTGTTAAAAGAAAAATATTTATTTTTATTAAAATATTTATATTAAAAAAAAAAAGAAAAAAAGACATGAGTTCGAAATTCTTAGAAAATTTCTTCTCAAGATTTTTCTTACACTTTGCAGTGCTTAATTTTTTATTTTTTTGTACATAGCAAATGAAAATAAAAGACTAATTAAGAGAGAAAAAAGAAATTTTTCTCTAATAATTTTTTCCATCAACACATGAAACAATATATAAATTGAAAAATGATTACAAACTCCTTCCTTTATGCATAAAAAAAAAGTTTTTAAAATTGTGAAGCAATAGCTGAAAAAAAGATTGATGACAATATCAGGTGTATGTGTGATAAAAACATATGAATAAGTTAGATCAGAAAGGGATTAATTAAATGTACATTTCGAGATTCACATGCTGTAATAAAAAACATTGAAAATTTAAAAAATATGCAAAAATCAACAGGATAACTGTGGAAAAATGTATTGAAAAGCAATAGAATCAACGGGTCAAACAGTGAACACTCAGGTTCGTGAATTGAATTTCTCTTATCATAATATTATCGGAATTTTGAAAAATTATATGATGACTGTCAAAAAACTAATCGAAACACAACATTGATTTCGAGCAAATCAACTGCAAGGTGCATAGCCAAGTTTTTCAACAAAAAACAAGCATCTTTTTAAGCACTCAAAAAATATTTTTAACCACTATATACATTAACAAAATAATTTTCAAAGACTTTACATGATCATGATAAAATAATTAGTTTCTGACAAAGAACTCTTTTTCTTGATTATATTAGCCACCATAAAATAATTTATACACTATTTTAAACATATTCAATATTGAGTGGCTCATGCTATTTTTTAAAATAATGATTATTTATGTAAAAATTTTTAAGTTAAAATTATAATTAATTTAACTATTATTATATTGAGTGTATTTTCTAAGACTTAAATAATCTATTTAAAGCATAGTTAACAAACGTTAACAGGATTAACATTATTGATCAAACTGAATTTATAAAGATATGTAAAGAATTAAGAAAACTTTAATAAATTTATATTACGAATCTAAATTAGTGAATGGCCCCTAAGAAATTTTTGATGAAATTTGTTACCTAGTATTTCTTTAATGAAATTATTAAAAAATGTAAATAATTTTGAAACGTAAATATAATGAGTATTGAAACTAAACATTTTTGTCAGAAGTAAATTATTATATGGACCCTGAACTCGTAACATTTAACAAATCATTAACAATCAAACATGAATAAAATTTCAGTTGTTTTTAAATCAAATAATTAAGAGATGAATTAAAGATATTTGGAATGAGAAATCTGAATGACAGGAGATTTTTTGCTGTATTTTAAAATAGTGAAAGTCCCTCATTTCACGCTTTCTCAAAATCTTGCCTCTAAATAATATTGAGTATTTTTTTTAATAAAAGAAATTAAAACTGAAAATTTTAAACGTAATAAAGGTACAATAAAAGTAAATTTTTTTTAAATGTAATTAGTAGATGGTCTCTTAGGTAAATACATCAATTAATTATTATCTTTACTAAATTAAATGAATAAAAGGAAGAAGGAAATTTTGTGATTAACGACTGCACTAAGGATTCACAAGAAAATACATATTTAGTAAATGATCCCCAAGTCCAGCTCAAGGATTATGATACTGATCTATAAACAGAACAGCAGGAGATGGCAATGACAATGGCACCTCAATGATAAATTTAAAAAGAGAATCAAGATCAATATGGATCAAGGGGCATGCAGGTCGCGCGCCTCCCTTCTAAAAACGAGTAGGGTAAACACTGTAGCTTAAATTATATTTTATAACAAACAACGAATTTCACAACAAGAAATAAAAAAATTGTTAACATACAATTTAAAAATATTATTAAATTTATGATTAAAATCTTCTTAAGTTGATTTAGCACAAATAAATCCAAAAATTTTGAACAATGCTAAATAGCATATTTCGGACAAGAGTTTCAAATTTATTAGAAGAAAGAAAAATACATACTTAATTCTAACAAGAGAATACAATAAGTAAACAGCAGAATTTCCTCGATCATCAAGCATCTGGAAAAGAGAGGTGATAAAAATAAAGCAATATTAAAAAATAAATATTAAATCTAAATAAGAGTGAAAATTTTCAAAGAAAAAGGAAACTCACTCTTTCAAAAGAAAACACGTAATCATGTATACGATTGTGACTTAAATCAGCATATTTTATACAGCCATATGCTACAGCTTCTTGAGCAGCCTTGAGTTCTTCAGGAGTCAGAACCTGAAAAAGTGAGGCACAAATGATTAATTTTTTTTGTTCCCAATGCAAAAATAGATGCACCATACACTAACGGTATTTAGAAAACATTATCATCTTAGGTCAAGAATTTATAGTAGAATGAAGCATGTCTTAAAACGAGACTTATTACACGAAATAAACTAATAATCAGTAGGATAAAACATGAATGAAAATAAACAGATGCATAACTAGCAAATACATTTTAAAATAATTATTGTAATGTAATTTTTTTATGAATACTTACTCACGTTAAAGAGCTTTAAAAAAAATTATGATTATGTTAATATTAACAGCTCTGTTAGTATCTTTTTCTTACAAAATAGAATCTGGTGTTTTCCTGAAATCTTAAAGAGTGTTTAATATTTTATAACTACAAATGTGATTAGCTAAAAATTGAACAATCAACTCCATATAGAGAATCCCCACGTTTTTTAGACTAAAATTAGAATCCCACTCAAATAGCATGTTTAATAAGATAATGTACATTTTTATGCTTGTAACTAATATAGTATAATTAAGACACTCCTTAAATTATTGAGATTACTCAGCAGTAGGTGAAAATTTAAATGTTAAATCAAAGTTATTCATGGTGATTAATTTCCTCCCTTCTTTCTCAGTCTATGATACAATTTAAAAGAAAATTTTAGCAAACAAGGAATACTTTCAGAGAATATCAGCAGCACACTCAATATGCAATGCTTATTTAATAGCATATTATAAAAACATTTTTCACAAAATTATGATTTTATTATTTAGTCATCAACTCACCTCATCTCTTTCCTTCTCTTTTAACTTTTGCAAACTCTTTTGTAATCCTTCTTCTAAGAGATCAGCGAGTTTCACAGTATCGCCAGATCGAGTTTTGAATTTCTTTCTAAAATAAAATTATATAAAAGACTACACACATGAATTCTATAAACCTAATTTTAATTTAATTTTTATGATGTATAGTGTCATTCAATCAATCTTAGTTTATAAACATTAATGTTTCAAATAATATTATAATGTACGTTTAAAATATAAAATGACTATATGATTTTATAAATATACAAAAAGTTGAAATGCGTGAGGAAAATTTCCAAAATAAGGTGAGAAATAATAAGTTTTTCAATCCTAAATGCTATAGTTTTTTAAAATTAAAAAGTAAATTGAGCATTTTAAAATTAATCAGATGATTTGTATTGTGTTGTTTAAAAATTACTAAGCCTTTTATTATTACAACATTCCTCAAAACTGTAGACATAAATTAATAATAATGTACTACTAAAATAGTGACAAAACATAAACTATTATATACAAAATCATTAAATTTAGAGATATTTTATGCCAGCACAATATATTTCATACTTACTTATCTTCCCCTAACACAAGCCCAAAAGCTGCATGATCAGTTCTAACTTGTGGTGGGCAGAATTTTAATTGCCTGGCAGCCTTATAAATTGATTCCAAATGCAAAGACTGCAAAAATAGTTTAAACCTCAAACTTCAACAAGAATAAAGAAACATAAATGAAAATAAAAAAGTCAAGTATACAGTAAAGAAAAAACGCTTCTTTTGCCTGAATTAAGCAACAAGAAAGCTTCACACACATATAATATATATATCAGATTTACCAAATAAAGATTTTGGCCTAATTCGAAAAATCAAAGTAGCTACTCACTTACTATTTGGTTTCGTGAATGCTAATTATTCAGTATTTGGCCAAACATTTATTATTAAAATAGTTTAAATGTAAAAAAATATGTTATACATTTTTAATAGAACTCAATTTAAAATAATCTTTATCTTGAGTTGAAATATTTAGATGTATGCAAAACTATGAGCTAAGGAATTATAAGAGTTGAGAGGAAATGTTTGACATAAATTATTTTCATTTTAAAATTTGAATTAATTTTAAGAATTAAGGCAAATATGTAAATATTTTAAAACTGCATTTCTTATTATTAAATTTAATGAAATAACACCTTGTGTGTGAGAAACAAATTTTGAAGTTACCTTCAAAATAATATAATTCATTTAATAAATATTTATTAGTGAATTGAAATGAAATTGACTGTTAGTCAGATATTTTCAAAATACTGATTAATCTTTTTTTTTCTTCCCTCCTTTGTTCAAAATCTGAAGTCCTTTTCTTAAATGATGGTGTTTTGAAAATTAAAAATAAGCAGTGATTCTTCCCCACTTAGAACAATATTTCAAAAAGGAGATTACTGATAATTTTTTTCTAGTTAATCTTTTTCATTCATTTACTTAAAATACCCATACAAAATATTAAATTACTGATAATTCAGAAATTTTTGATCAATTCATTAAAATTTTTTTTTAATTTTCAAAAATGAACCAATTATTATTTATTATTTAACATTATTATTTAAAAAAGATAACTATTTGGCAGATTGAATACTTCAAGACTCAGCCTACCAATTATTCTACAAGAGGGCCAGATTGCAGAATTATAACCAAATATTTGAAACATCTCTATTATATGAAACATACTAATATGTAATTGAAAAAAATTCATAAAACAATATATTTTTGAAAAACATAAAAATAAGAAACAGGATATTTAGTAGAGTTGAAATATTACATTTTTCAACAAAAGCATGGTTTCAGCAAACTTCATGGATTTAAGTTATTATAAAGTAAGAATATATTATAAAAAAGTAAGAATATATGTTGTCAATAGTTCAAACTAGTAAAAAAAAATCTAACATTTTCCTTAACTATACACTTGTTTAGTTTGAAAATACAAAATAGAAATTAATCACCAAATTTGAAAAAAAAAATGAAAAAATTGTCTATATGTTTAAAAATGTTTTTTCTTCTTCTTTATTTTATTCTTTAATTTAAAATAATATAATAAAATACCAAAAAATTAATAACACACTGTAACTGCCAAAAAGATGACAGTTTGATTTGACTTGATTAAATTTTTATGTTGGGATTATAACATTTTGAAGTCGTTCTAAACTACACTGGCGCTCACAAGATTGTTGCTGAACCAGGGATGTGGAGTTAGAAAAATTTGCTCAACTCTGACTCCATTAATAAAAAGTTAGGTCCTACAGATTAAAAGAGGTCTTAAGAAAATTATTTAGACACACATATATATATATATATATANNTGTAAACAAAAGTTTAAATAGAATGAATATTATAACAATTGATATAATTATTACTTATCACAAACTTAATTATTTACATTTGAATGTTTTTGAGCCTGTACTTAACTGAACAATTAAAAAAAGAAAATTATTAAAAATATCGAAAAATCAAGATCAATAAATGAATTAATAATAAGCTATATTTTAATTTACATTGTTATTTATAATCAATTGATATACAAATGAATTCAAAGTATCATTTGTAATAGTTTTGTGGTTCATGAATATATACAAAAAAATTTTTATAACACACTTATAAATGAGTGTTATAATTGTTTTGTACAGTTTAAAAATTTTTGCACATATATATCTTTAAAAAAATTATTTCTTCAACTGTTACAATATAAAATATAATTTTTAATAAAATGCCTTTTAATTTAATTGCACATGAAAAATCACTAAAATAGAAATGTTTAATTTAAAATTAACAATCACTTAATAATAATACTTTCCTGGGATTTGGAGGAAATTTTAATTTGAGACCTACAGATCTGAAAAAAAATTCAGATTCTGAGTAGAACAACTCTGGTTAGAAGAATATGAATTTAAGGTAAAAACAGTCTTCATGATGTTGGTTCTACAAACTTAATAAATATTTTTTATTGGTACATCAAAAAATTAAATCATAATTAATGATAAAGATACATTAAAGTAATAAATTTTAAAGCAAGGAAAGGAATAAAAAAAATATATATACAAAGTAGAACAAATAAATTTAGTCCCTGGATTATTATATTAATAAATTCAATATAAAATATTCTCAAGATTTCTTTAAGTAAATTTATTAATTAAATCATGCTAAGGTAAAATAAATCACTCGTAGTGAGATATATGAACATTTATGTTTCGCCAATTTAAAATATCTGTAACTGATAATTTAGTTCTTCTGTTTTCCTAAACTTTGAATCTCTAGGGCAAGAAATGATAAAATAAAAGTCTTTATTCACACACCTGACCGGCATCAACTACATATATAAGCCATTCACCCTTTTCTTCCTCAATTCTTTGTCGTATAGCAGCTAAATCAGAAGTGTCATAAGTGTAACCACCATCTGACTTAACCACAGTAAGGGGAACATTAAATCCTTCAACAAAAAAAACTTTTCTTCCATCTTCTTCTATTAGAACTCCTATGAGAAAAAATAAGCTTTAATTAAGAAAAAGAAAAGGAATGTTCGGATAACTTAAAGAATATGTGATAATTCAATTAAAACTCAAAACTGTAACTGATAATTTAGTTCTTCTAAACTTTGAATCTCTAGTGCAAGAATGATAAAATAAAATTGTTCTTTAGAATTTGAAGTATCAGCCGAACTACAGAGACTAATACACAGTTATGTAAAATGCATCTAAAAAATTGGCACATTCCAAAAATATGCTTTTTAAACACATTTCATGAAAATTTTTAAAAATTATTAGATTTTCATTTTGGCCTTTTGTAAGTTAATGTAAATGCTTTTTGCAATTTTGCATGAGATTATTTTTCAATAACTCAATTTGTGAATCCTTTAATAAATTTAAAATTAGATTTTTTTTTCATACACAAAAATACTAAAAAATAACTTTTTAAAGTTAAGAAATTAAAAAATAGAGATATCACGAAACTCTCATGTTATTGCAAAAAGTAACTAATTTTTTTCTTTTGAAAGTAAAATCAGATTAAAAGTTTCTAGGATCTCAAAGAGGCAAAATGTAATATGATAAGAAATGTGCCGATTTATACGAAATTGATTATTAGAGCAGAAGTGAAAATTTTTAATGAACTTTCTTTAAATTTAATTTTTTATAAAAGAAAAATATAATAAAATCCATTTTGCTGTATTCAAGTTTTTTCCCTTGTTTAATAATTCTTTCAACCAATTAAAAAATCAGCCCAAAGAAGATGTTTAATCCGAGTTTATGTAAAATTTTTAAAGTTTTTATTAGTGTAATTTCTTCATCCATCATAAGGAGAGCACAGCAAGATATAAAAATAAGCAATATAATAGATTTTAAATCAATTTTGAGCTACAAGCAACTTAATCATAAAAAAAATATTTGGTGTACTTCCTTTACATTGGTTAACTACAAAATTTCAACTAAAGCAAAAAAAAAACCTTATTAGTTATGAAACAATTATAGTTCAATTATTATACAACTGATTTTCAAACATATTACGATATGACTTTCTTGGCTTACATTAGATTATAATAATGTAAAAAAATGTATGATATAAGAATATTTTTCAAAATAAATTGACAACCTCGCTTTTCCAATTCTTTCACAAGAGTTTTCATTCGCTCTTGATAAAAAGATTCTCCTCTCTCAATTAAGCTTATGTCTAAACATTCATAGATTTTGCCAATTTCTGAAATAAATAAAAACAGTTAAACAATAAGAATTTAATAATAAAAAGTAAAATACATTTAAAAAAAAAAAAATTTCTAATTAATTTTTTTTAGAATCTATTTAATAAAATTATTCGGTTATACATTGGTTATATTTCTAAAAATGACGGTTATTAATACTTTTGATTAATACTTTTTTGAACCAAACATGTTGATTTGGTAATATTAAGATTGTCATTGGCATTTTACAGGCAGTAGTACCATATAACTGCCTCCTCACAAAAATGAACGTTTTTGAGCAAAATATGAGGGATTTTACAGTAAGTATATTACAAAAATAAAGATCATATCTCTTAAAATAAAATTATGTCAATCATTCCTTGGAAGAAAAAAAATAAGTGAAATAAATCCCTGAAAAATTCTGAACTACAACAAGAGATTCATAATCAACTCTTTTTGCAATAAATAACTTAAAATTGAGATGAAAAATGTTCAAAGAAAATTTTAAAACAAAGCAATTATCAATAATATTTCTTTAACAATCGTGCGATTCAAAATCACCTTTTCGTGAAACATCACATATTTGATTCCAGGCTTTCATCATGTTTGGTTCATAATTTTGTAACTGTACAACACATGAGTATGCCTTCTTTTTAAACTCTTCATCACTGTCAAATCTTTTTTTAGATTCCTATAAAAATCAAAATATTATAAATTTAGTATAAAACTTAGATTTAATGCAATCTATTACTTCAGTTTACATTATCAATATTATTTATGATTACTTATGGAATAATAAAATTATTTAGAAGTATTTCAAAATTGATAAATTTTGACTATCTATTTCCAAATGTCCTGCAATTGATTATTCAATTACATGAATATTTTACTTATTCTGCAACCAAGCAAACATCTATAGGTTATTAAAAGTTGTTAGTACTTTTCATTCTTTTAATAAATAAAGATTTAAAAAAATACTAGAAAATTCAATAATTTTAAAATAATAATTTCAGGGCTCCCAACATAGTTAAAGGGGAAAAGAGCACCATCTGTTGTCAAAAGGAGTACTTAGGAGAACTATTTAGGCTTAATAAAAGAATTTAGGAGGACCATTTAGGTAATTTAGGAGGACCATTTAGGTTTTAAAAAATTTAGAAGGACCATTTATCATTAGAACAATTCAGATTCACATACCTCAATAAATTATTTAGTTAGTTTTCTTTCAGAGAATAATAAAAAAGCAGTCAAACAGAATTCATTCAGATACAGGATGGTACAAACATGAGAGAAATTTCACATTAAGTTTCTAACTTAATAAAGTTTGAAATTTTACAAAATTACAAAGATTCACTGAAGAAAAAATTTAGTGAATCTAATTCCAGTTTAAGTTATCAAAGCTGATCTAATATTTTCCACATTTAAGAATTGCAACAGAAAATGACTAATAATAAATATTAAAAAAAAAGTAAATTATTTGTAATGGAAAATAGTTACTCAGTATAAAGGATAATAAATTTTTGAACTATTTTTATTTTGTTTAAAAAAAAATGTTTTCGTCAGTTTATTTTTATTTATATAATAACAATGACAATTTACTTAAAAAATAAAAAGAACACTGGCTACAAAATGTTTCTACACTTTGAAGATACAATTCAATATTTGTAATTTCATTAATTTGTGAGGGAAAAAATGCATTGTCAAAACAATTATCAAAAGTAAATTAGAAGAATATAATTTAATGATGATGACTATAAGATAATTTAAGAATATAAGTATCACTCCATGAAAATTTTCAAGCTCTCTCAATATGTAAAAACACATAATAAAAATTTATTTCACCTTATAAAACTCTTGGAGGTTTTGAATAGAGGGAGATTTTTCCAGATAATCGGGAAACTTATCTTGCAAGTGAGCAATTAGCATGCCAAACTGAGTGCCCCAATCTCCAATGTGATTGATTCTCAGCACATCATTCCCGCAAAATTCTAAAAGTCGGCAAATACTTTCTCCAATAATGGTGGATCTAATGCAAAAATTTAAAACAAAATGACTCCTCAAAAAATTAAAGTAATTTAAATATTTTCTTAGAAATTAATATAAATCCTAAAAAATCTACAAAAAAACAGATATTAACACAAAAGAAACTAACTAAAAGATCAACATGAAACTGAAATTAGCAATGATATACAAACTTTATACTTGGAGAACTGTTTTAATTTGCAAAATAAAACTGATAAGAGATAAAGAGTATGATATTTCAAACATTCCCTATGTCAGTTATACAATTTTTATTCTGAAATTCATGTTTAAAAACGATTTATCTAAGTAATTAAGTTTTATATTCTACTTAGCAAGCTGAAAAAAATAAATATTTACTTTAAAAAAAAATTCAAACACTTTCCTAATTCAAGAGAATTAACACTACAGCGAAGATATTGTAATAAATATAAAGAGAAAAGCATATTTAGAAAATTATTACTAACAAATTTTATAAGTTTAACAATGCTATTAAAATTTACTATTTGAGTTACTACAACACATTTTTAAATACTTTTTAAAATCCTGATAATTAGTAGAATAATATTACGACATCTCAATTGCGCATTTGAGTAATGAATTTTTGATGCACGCTATTACATAATTTATTCATATGGTTTTTTGCTTTTATTAGTTAATGGTGCAGATTTTCACTAAGTTAAAATACAGATAGATTTGATAAAACAATATTTCAACACATGAATGTCAAAATGTTTATTAGAATAACTAATTTTATACCTAACATTCAACCCAACACAATTTATTGTAAGTTTGAGAGATTTCAACAACTTCATAGTAAATCCAAGAATTGTTTGACAAATAAATAATATAACTTTCATACATTTTTTTTACCAACCTATTTAACACATGATTTGATGCACTAAAACCAAAAAATTTGGAAAACTGCTAAAATATTTTCTCATCATACATATATAGTAACAAATAAATAATTATCATTATCTTCAAGGAAGGTGAAAAATATTTTATAGAGACACAAATCTCTCTTTGAATCTTTTTTAAATACAAAACATATTAATAATATAAATATTGTCACATGTATCAACAAATATACGTACATAATATCATATATATTGTCACGCATAATAAATTGTAAGCATTGAGCCCCTAGGTAGATTTGTACCAAAATTTTATTGCAACACTCTATTTTCTCATTGAACAATGTGATTAAAACCAGTTTTTTGATGTTGGAAAGTTTGCAGTTTAAAAAAACTCTGAGGGCTAAACACATTTATTACCTTAAGTGTCCAACATGCATTTCTTTCGCAACATTTGGAGATGAAAAATCTACAACAATTTTTTGTTTTTTCATTGGAGGTGGTTTCACTCCTTCAGTAAGGAGATAACTTATGCGTTGACTATAAAGACTAGATTTTACTTTCACATTGATAAAGCCTGGTTTAGCTATGTCTACTGATTCAGCAACTGAATTAGGCCCTATGTTTTCAACTATTTTAGCAGCTACTTCCATTGGAGGCAATTTAGCACCCTTTTGTCGCAAAATCTAAAATAAAAAAAATTATAATAAATTTTTAAATAATTTTATGCAATAGCTTAAAAACAATACAATAATATTAAAATATTTAAAATTCATATGTGCATTGAACCAGGTTTTTGCAGAATTTTGACATATGGGTGATAGTTTTCCACAGTTTTCATCATGGATGAAAATTAAGATACCTTCTATCAAAAACATCATGTGTTCCACATTGCCCATAATGTTTTTGTTTTAAGTATCTCCAATAATTGCATTTAAGCAATAAAAGTTTTTTTCATCCTGCTAGATATTATGTTGCCAAAAAATTTTTTTTATAAAAATATTTAAAGAAAAAAAAATTTTCTTGCTTATTAGTCAAATTAATTTGACTTATAATAATTATTAACAGCTCATACATTAAGGTGTACATATTAGATTGGATTTAATCAAGTTTTAAACAGTTTTATTCTAATGTTTTCTTTTTAAATTTGTAAATTATAATAAAGATTCAAAACAAATCTGAACAATACAAGTAAATTTATGATACATACAGGGCATGACAAAAAAGAAAGAAAAAATTTTAGTATTTTTCCAGCTCAAAACTTGTTTCATATTAATTTTCTTTCTCATGGTAATGCACAAATTTCCGTAATACAGGTAAAATATTACTGAATCATTAACTCAACTATTCAGAAAATGATTTGAAACAATTTATGAAGCAAGGGTAAATAAGAATCTGTTCATACTAAAATATCAATCAATAGTAATAATAGCATACCTATATCTTATCTACATTTTAATTTTCACCACTATTACACAAATGCAGAGAAACCTCAGTTAAGTGGACACTCTTGGGACTGAAAAAAATTCTCAGTTTAAGAGAATTGTCCTCTAACAGGAAGGGTACCCTAATAACGAAGTTTAACACAGTAAATTGCTTTTATAATATTTTCAATGATATAGAAATAATTAAATAATCTACAATAACTACCTACAAGAATATTTATTTAAACTTAAAAAACTATTTTTATTCTATACAAAAAGAATGCATGAAAAAGTTTAATATAAATATATAATTCTAGATGCAGCTACCGATAAATGAGAATCATTTTCCTATTAACACATTCGGTATCAATTATTAGGTTTACACTCCCTTACACCTATCCATCACTTGACGGGAAACATAGTTAATAGCTCCGTAAAAGTAAACATCCCAGGATACACAGAAAACAAGAGAAATCAATGCTTACTTCTAAGGTACGAGGACCTATGGGGTTGATAAATACACTATTAATCATCTATCAAGTGTCTGAATAAATGTTTCATTTATATGAACGCTTCAAATATCAATTTCTGTTCTTTTTTTTTTTTACCCCAGCTGGATTAAATACAGTCTTCAAATTTATAAGACAATGAAAGAAATTTTCAGCGGGGAAGAAGCATTGAAAGCATTTAAGAGGTCATTTCAGCTAATGGGGTATTATAACCAGTGTCGTCCAGATAAAAAGGTGATGCTGTCTGGATGAACCTTTCTTAACAAAGATAAGGCAAGGTGATATGAGAAGGATTGATTCTTCAGTAGTGAAATAGCTTAACAATATTTTTAGTTATGGATAAGGCAAAAAAACTTACATGGTTTAAAAATGGCTAAATGTTGCATATATTTCTTGCAATTTAAAGCAGTTTTTTTTTCTATGTTGCAAAAATAATGTCCAGTTTGAAGAGATAAAAAAATAACACTTCAGGGCAAAAATGACACTCTGCAGCCGGTTACGAGAGTGTCCACTTTGCGGAGAAAGTACATAATGGTTTATTCATAGAATATTCATGGGGTCCATATTGAGGGGCATCCGTTTCACAGGAGTGCCCATTACAGGAGGTTTCCCTGTACTCACACAATTACATGAATAATATGATGAACGTTTTAATAAGAGAGATAGAGAAATAAAATATAGCACTAACTTACTTGTGCTACATTCATAGCACTGTTGCACTGATAATCACCAAATTTTTCTGAAGTGGAACGAGTCACAACAGCATCAAAATCTTCAAGTTCGGGGAAACTTTTGTGAATTGCAGCACTGAACATATCTGCTAAATATTTTAAAATTGATCCTTTTAAAGCAACACTTTCCATCAATTCATCAGCTCTCTATAAAAAAAATAATAATAAATAAAATTATTATGCTAAAGAATATTAATTACCATAATTAATAGGTACATTGATTGTTAAAGTAGGAGACTCACTCTCTTCAAAATATTGATACGATATTCAAGTTTCTCGTTTTCAGATGCAATGGCTTTAATTTCATCTGAAACTCCTAGCTCTTGATTATTAGAACTTGTAATGCTGTCAACTTCTTTAGCGAGATTCTTGTACACTGATTCCTATAAAACCATTCAATACTTAAATATAACATGGTATAGTAAAAGAAAAATCTTAAAACTACTATAAGTAGTAAGGAAAAATTCCACTAATTTTTTGAAGAATATTCTCATCAAGGAGAATATTCTCCAAACTTATGTCTAAAATTAATAGTATACCTATTATAATACATATTAATAATTATGAATATGATTAATTTTCACAACTATTGATCATTTCGTATTAAAGTTTGTAACTTATTTAATTTAAAATAAAATAAAAAAAATAATAATTAAATGAATGTGAAGCATATTTTGAAAATTGTTCTCAAAACATAAAAATAATTATTACGCATGATATCTCAAAAATATATATCAAAACTAAGCATAAATATAAATAATTACTAAATTTTCAAAAAAATTATTACAATTTATTTGATAAAATGGTTATAATTTTGAGAAGCATTTGTTGCAAAAGAGCATTTGTTGATTAAAATAAAATTTGTTAGAATCACAGTTCACAGAAAATTCTTGAAATGCTACCAATTAACATACATGATTTTTGTTTTACTTTTAAGAATGATTAAAAAAAGTGCTTAAGAACTCCAAATTTTGAATAGTAGCAAAGAAACTAAAAAAAAAAAAAAAGGTTTGCATATAAAAGCTCTTTTAGACCCATGGGTGATCGTAGCTGGCACAAACAGGAATTGATAGGGTAGGATTTGTAAAACTGCTCTTGAAAAGCAATAAAATTTCTTAGAAAAATACAGTATAAATATTTTTTTTCGATAAGAGACAATTTTTTTACCAAATTATGAAATTTGATGCTAATTTCTTTAAAGTTATTTCAATAAAGAAACAGGCATAAAAAATCACAGAGAACTTGATATAACATTGCTAACATTTTCTAGAAATTAAGTATTATCATATCAATGATTGCCATGGCACAGAAACTTTCAATAAAAAACTGAACATACGATAGTCATTCATCCCAAATTTAATCGTCGTGTTGGCGGTGAAAACAAGACAAATAGAAAAAAGTGGACAAGTAAAACTAATGAGTTTTTTTGCATTTTTATTCATAAAATCTAAATAATTTACAAATCATAAAGGGGGAATTATCATAAAAACATTACATTTGATGATAGGGCAAAAAAAGAAGACAGTAAGTTATGAAAAAAACAATACTAAAATTAGTTACATTAATATTAACAAATTTGCAATTTATAAATAATAGATATTGAAGCACTTAGTCTTATTTAAATTTATAAAACAAAAAATAAAAAGCGGCATTTAAAACACTTCGTAACTAACCAGACTATTAACACTCATGATATCATCCATCCTTCGTTTCAAAAAACAGAAAAATCCCCAAAAGCAATCTCACTCTATATAGAAAATTAAAAACAGACAGATTTCAAAATCGTTAAAACGTGTTGTATTTTAGATTCGGATGTCAAGCAGATTGTATTGAGTATTTCCGGCGTTAGTTTGGGTTTAACTTTGTCCTACATAACCATCAATGGAATATTGCTTAAGGTCTGAAAACAGCAATTTATCGTTGCTAAGACGGAATTTATTCTAAGATGGCAATGATTAGGTTGTAATCCAAAACTAATGGCGGGGTCTGCTGTAACTGTGTTTTCTATATCGCTTTAAATGTAAATCGTTAAATTTATTTAACTAAATCTGTTGTTCTTTAAAGAAAACTTCCGAAAGCAAGTTCATAATAAGTTTATTAATATTTTGCATTTTATAATAATCTGCTATGTCTGCTAATTATGTATTTAAATTTTTCTGCTATGTGTTAACAATTTCGTATTTATTTTAGTTTATAATTATTAACATGAGTTCTTCTGAAGAAAGTGATAATGAAGACATTCCTGAGGTGGAAGTCTGTCAACATTTATGTGAACAATTCGCTGAAATCACTGGAACTGATACAGCGTGTGCTCAGTTTTATTTACAAGATCGAAAATGGAATTTAGATGTAATTCTCTCTTAAATTTTATTTAAATTATTGCTTGTGTTCTCTATGTTTGAAATTTCAATTATATTTTGCCAAAAAGGCGGCTGTATCATTACTTAAATGCATTCTTCATTGTTTTTACTTAGCATATTTAACACAGTTTAATATAGTTATTATTTTAAAAACATTAAGCATTGGTTATTGCATAGGGAAAATTTTTTTTTTTTAGAGATTTCTGTATACGTACCTGCACGAAAACAACCATTGGGTTATGGTGACTTGTGGTTAGTAGCCCCCATGCGAAACTAACCCTAATGAACTCAACTGTAACACTTTGAGCAAACAACTATAATTTTCTTTAATTTATTTCAAGTTAGTAGCTTAGGTTATTTATTTTACATGAATTTGCCCTTGCAAGAATGAAGGATGCCTTTGCTTTCAGCACCCACCAAAAGCATTAAGATTTGACCTTAATTCTATGCCAGGATTTAAAAAAAACTTCTCTTGACTAGTATTGTTGCAGTAGGATTATTAATATCAACAATACATGAATTGTTGCTACCAAAAGTAAATTTCATGCCAAAAGTAAAATCGCTTTTATAGTCCTCTGAAATTATCAGAATAAATTTCATTCAAGAGATTTTCAGGGAGATTTCTGTATTGTGATTTGTAGCAAAATAATCACCTAGTTTTGGTAACTTCTGGGCTGTGGCCTGTGAGAAACTAAAAAAACATCAAGGGAAGGGAACAACATGAAAGATATAACTCGTAGCCAACCCCGGACAAACATCTACCTGTTTTTAAAAAAAAAAATTTGCAAGTTTAAATTTTGGCACCCTGGCGATTATAGTTGCTGCAACAGATCACGATACAGAGATTTCCCCAGATTTTTTGCCCTGGAAGTGGTACAGGGTACAAATAGGTTTTGAAATGATAATATCCCTTTTTTTTCTGTTATGCTTAATAATTTGTTTTTCAGTATCTATATGGGTACGCCTTTTGAGGGGTATTTATGTTTTAGTATCTGTTTGTGATTACTATCTTTGTTAAGGTGTCAAAGGAATTTTAATTTGATGAAATCTGTCAAAAAAAGAAATTTGTTGTTTGCCTGTGAGGGACTAGGGTTTTGCATTTAGGGTTGTTCCTTTACTGCAATGTTTTTTTTAATAAATTTCTTGAAGACACTGCCTGGAAGTCGACAAGAGTTTGCAATTATTTTGCTGTTGATACCAGTACAGAAATCTTCCTACAAACTACGGAAATCGCCAAATACCATTGATAAGTTTTTATTCTTGCAAAAACTTTTTTTGTAATTTTTTTTTAAGAGAGGCAGATTGCCAAGAAATTGTTGAGTTTAACCTATTCTATAATTTCTTGAATGTCATTGTCCTTAAAACTTGAATACTAACTTGACAATACCAACATAGAAATCTTATTAAAAATTAATGTAATAATATTGGATAAAAGATATTTTTATGGTAATATAATTTAAGGTGGTAGTATGACAAATATTGAGGTTGGTGAAACTGATACTCAAGGAAATTTGTAACAATTGAAGAACCGTAATTTATGAGAAATTTTAATGAAACATCATATTTACTGTTTTGATAATAAAGTAGAAAAATGTATGTATAGTACAAAATTGCTTTGTGACCACTGTAAGTTATTGCTTGAGCAATCAAACCGAAACCTCAAACGTCTATTTAAATAAGAACTTTCATTTCACCTTTTAATAACAACTCTAGAAGAATTCTGTAATTATGAAAAAATATTGTTTCTAACTGGAAGTTTGAATTCAGTACTGAAAAATCCTTTATTGATTTAATTTTAGAATCCATATATGTAAGAGCAGCTAGTTAATATATAATACTTTTTTTTATTTTAGCAATCAGTTAATGATTTTTTTGAAGATAGAAATAACAAAGGTGCAGTCCGAGTTAACAGTAAAAATGAAGCAGAGGTTGTGTTAGTTGTTGAGTAAGTTGCTTTATAATTTTTTTAATGCATTGACTTGTTTTAATTTTGATATCTTGCGACACAGGAAAAAAAGTTTTAGTAGGAGATAATATATGAAATAATGACATTTGCATCATATTTTTACAATCCTTTACAGTGGAAATTTTTCTAAAAATCATATTTTACTCTCTGTTTTTAGTTTATGTGATCAAATCACAGAATTAAGTGTCTGGGGGTTAGTTCCAACTTATTTTATGCATTAAATTGATGACTTTCTTACATTAAAAAATTAGTTTTTTGAATGTTACTCAATGTATGCCTGAGATGTAAAACATATTAATCTAATGATAAAGTAATTGAAAATTTTTAGGAAAGCTGACCCATTTTACTTATTCTAATTCAGAGCACTTAAAGAGAAATGATGGGAACCTAAAAACACAATAAATAAATTTAAAAATGTATTTCTGTTATCAATTGAATTTTTTTTTAAAGGTGTAAAGATTCCTTTAACAATACTTTAGTACAAATAAAAAGAATAATTTTTATTCTAGTAAATTTGGTAAGTATAGTTTTATTTCTTGTTTTTTTTTTTTTTTTTACGGTNTTGTTTTTTTTTTTTTTTTTTTTTTTTTTTTTAACTTAATACATTTTTATAGAACCTTTTTTATGTAAATATGTATTATTATTTTAGGATACTTATTATCATGCATTTAATACAGAAATTTTTTTCTTAGTTTTGAGATAAAGTTATTCTAATTTTTTATCATTTTCAACAGGTTGATCGAAGTTTTCATGTATCTCAATCTACCTGTTGCATATATGCATTAACCTATCTAATTAAGTTTTTTTTTTTTTTACCTATCTAAAAGTTTTGTTTTTCTCAAAAAAAATTCTAAGAATTTTTTGTTTTGTTATTAAAGTATGTATTTTAATGGAGCAGCAATTTTTGTTCTAAAATAGGCTAAAAACCTTATTCAAACGTTTATCAGCATATGCAATTAAATTAAGTGAACACTATATCACAGTAGCTTTACAATTAAACTTGTTTATTATGAGCCCTTATTTAATAAGATTCAATGTGTAAAGAAAAAAAAATTAATAGTTGGTTTTATGTCCTTAGTTTATATGTAACATTATTTTCTCTGTGAGTTTAATTCGGATTTAAATGAGATAGTTTTGAAAAAAATATTTAATACTGTCAAAGAGAAGTGTCTGACTGTAGAAATTGCATTAATTTCAAAATGATTTCCGATTCTTACAATGCCTTATTTGTTTCAAATTGTTCAAAAATTGTTTGTACATTAGTAATAAAGTGTAAAAATGTGAGTTCCCTTATTGTCTTGTAATGCATTGGGCAACCTGTTAAGTTACAAGGCTATATGGTGGTCATTGCATTGTTTAACAGAAGATGTTGCTATGATAATACTGAATAGATTTAATTATTTGTTTTTTATGCCTCAATGTGTAAGTTTAGGTCAAAATGTTTGATTTGTTTTAAATTTCATACTATGAGTCTTGTACTATTTAAAAAAAAAGTTGCAGATAAAATTGCACAAAAAAATTTATATATGTATTTTTTTGTTTTAATTTAAATCAAACAATAAATGATAAGCTATTTTGTAAACATTTTCTAGCTTCTTGTTATGCATTATATTTTTTATTTTTGATATTCTCAGCAAATTCAGGTTTAATCAGTGTAGTTTGTAAGTACGTTGAAATTGTCTATCTTCTACTAATTATTTTCTTTGTTTTACAGTGGAAGTGAAAGAGGTCTTGCTGCTGCTGCAACAGCTGTCCTAGCAGAATCTGCTTCTGCTGCAATGAAGCGTAAATCAGATTCGATGCAAAATCCTTCGTTGACTGCTGCACTAAAACGACTATCAGGAGCGTCAAATCAAGGTTCTTCTCAAATTACTGAAGATAAAAGTTCTTCCATTTTAAAGTTTATAACATGGAACATTGATGGTCTTAATGAAAAAAATATTAAGCTGAGGACAAAAGCTGTTTGTAAATCAATTCTAGAGTGAGTATGTTTTTTAAGGTTATTTTATATATTATCTTTAGTTTTACCTGGGAAATAAAAAGTAAGAATGAACTAATTTTAGAATTTTTAAGGCATTTAACCTTTATGTTATTTTTAGTTGTCAAAGAATGTCCTCGAATCCTATGTTTTAACTCATAATTCACTGAACCAGTTTAGCTCACTAAATTGATTTCTATACAGCTGCCCAAACAAGTTTATGGGCATACAAACTCCACTGTATATTTATATCAACCTTGTTATATATAGCAAGGCTATTATAATTAAAGGTACATATATCTGCCTTTAATTTTGATAGCTGATCTTTTGGTCATATTCCTTTATTTTCACAATAAAAAAAATTAAAAAGAAATTTTTTTAAACAAAACCTGCTGCACATCATTGATCTTTCTACAGCTGCCTAAACAGGTTTATTGCAGGGTTAGCAGAATAATTATCATGTTAGGTTTTATTTTATACTTTTTCATAGTTTATACTTATTATAGTTTATTATACTATATTAGTATAGTAAACTAGTATAGGTAGTATTGTAAACTAAAACTACCTGAACCTTGTTACAATATTGTAATAAACATTGAATGTGAACTATTTCCTCAATTCATTAGCTTTAGCATTCTTATGCAGTATTTCTCTTTAAAATATTTGTTTTCATTATTTAATAGTATTTTCTGTTTAAAATACAAAAAAGTAAAATAAATATGCAATTTCTGTACTTATTTTTTTTTTTAATTAATTAAGGGCGAAATGTTATTATTGTCTCATGTTCCCAGCACACTGTTTCTAAACTTAAGTAATTTACTTAATTAAGAAATTGTTACACAGATAAATTCATACATATTCTGATAGATTATGTCTATCTACTTAAATATCTATAATCAATATTCTTAGAATTTTTAAATTTTGTTCTACACTTTACTACTTTGTATGTGTCTTCCCATTTCTGTTGGTGACTTTATCAAATTTAATTATTGACCCCTCCCCCCCTAATTTTTATTTACAAAACTGAAAGCAAGTAAAAAAATTTAGATTTGTACAAAATGTAATAACTTTTATAAGATATGGATATTTAATCAGACATAAAGTAGTTTTTCACCTACTTGACGAAAACTATTATTTTTATGTTTAGTGTCCCTATCTGAAATGCACTTAAAGCGGATAATAAATACTAAAGGGTCAATAATTACTCTACTGTTGATGTGTTAGATTCATTTGGGTTTGCTATTACATATTTTTTTTTCACACAATTTAAACAATAATAAAAGAATTTCATTATCTGATAATCAAAACATTGTTTGTAAACATAAAAATGCTAAATTTTAAATCTTAAGTGCTAATTTATGACTTTTATTAATATTATTGAGAAAAAGTTGAAATAATATTCTTGCTGGTGTTGGGATAGTTATGAGCACATTCTGTTTTGTGTTCCAATTGTAGTTTGATATTTATAAAATTAAAATGTTACAGTAAAAATTTGATTTTTTTTTAAATCTATTTTCACTGTTTACTGTACCTTTCAAAGAATCAAGCAAAAGTTAACATTTTGAGAAAGTAATCCATATGTTCATTTTAAAAACTGATTTAAAAATTTTTGATATATTCTTAGATTGTCAGTGGTCTGGTTTTATGATTTGATAGAAACAAAAACTTTAGAAATAACATTTTTATTTTATTAGATAAATGACAAAACAATAACTATCTACCTAATCAATAACTATCTATTTAAATGTGTCCTCGTAACATTCTGTAAAAAACTGTGTAGTTTGCAACTTTTTGTACTGCATATCTATTTTTTTAATTTAGTGAGGGTTTAAGAAATAAAAATAATTTATTGAAAAAAAATAGATTTGAAGTAAAATATAATACTTATATTCAAGATGAAACTTTAGATAGTTAATAGCGTAATTTTATTTTTTAGGATTACATTTCTAAAAATGCTTTTGTATCTATAATGCTTACAATTGTAAATTATGTGGTTTTCTGCATCTTTGCACCACTTGTAGAGCTCTAACTATAATTTAGAAATATATATTCATATCATAAATAAAACCATTAACTGTTAATAAACTTAATTGAAAAAGCTAATATAAGTCGAAAAAACTGCCTGTGTTAATAGTATTTGGCTGAATTTTACCATTTTCTCATGGTTTTTATCAAGGAAAATCTAAGTCTGGCTTATAGTCCTCATGATACAACATGCCTATAGTCTTCCTTGAGTATTTGCCTTTTTTAAGTAAACATGGGTCCATGACTATGAGGTTATGTAATGTTGCTTATGCTTGTCATAATATAACCTATTTGGCCTTTCATGTCAAATATCCTATTGTAGCAATCTTAAGCATGTTACAACCTTTTCAATCAATAATACTGTAATATATAATTTTATGAAGAGAGTAACATGCAAGAAATGTTTTTTTTTATTTTTCCTACGCATTACTGTGCCATTGTATAACATATGAGAAACCAGTTTTTTTATGCAAGAAAGCTTGCAGCTAGAAGTTTGAAAAAAGCTGTGCCTGACGCCATGGGTGCAAGTCTTCCGTCCCCAGGACGGATTTCCGTCTTTCGAAAATGTCCGCGGACGGAAGTAAGACGGAAACGAGACTGACTCGAAGACGGAAATCGGAAGAAGAAAAATTTCTGTCCTTAAAAATATTTTTCAGGTCTACATTATTGGTCTACTTTCTTATGTCCTGTTGTTATTTTATCAAAAGGCAGATGAATAAATATTTTTTGTACAGCACTTAAACTTGATAAAGCTTTCTTAGATAATTTGCATATGTCGAGGGGGTATTGTGTATGTTAGGTATTTCAGTCAAAAAATTTTCAGTCTTGGCCTTTTTTCCAACTTGCACCCATGCCTTACGCTCAGAGGGTTAAACATTGATTATTGTCTGGAGGACATACATACAATTTGATGTATGATGTTTTTGTAAATGTTGAAATAAATCTTGTATGATGAAAAGGTATTAGTTGAATAATAAAGTTGCAATGTCCCATGTTCTCCTACTGGATAAAAAAATCTATTTTCTAGAAAATATTACAATTTTCATTTATTACATACTCTTTTGTAATTCTTGTGATAGAATTTGTATGCTGTATTTGATACTTTTGAGGAAATTGAATTAAAACTTCTGTAAAAATTAAAATTGGTTGGATGAAAATGTTTGAAATGTTGTGAATTTTCATATTGGAAAAAAATGCTTCTCCTAAAAAAAAATTTTGTGCCATTCATTTATAACATGTAGTCTTGTCTTTCTATGTGACAAAATTCTTAAGCTATATTTCAGTTAATTTAAATATTGTATCTTCACTTTAAGGTGTAATTATTATAAACTATGCAGATTTATTTATTTAAAAATAGCTTAGTAAAAAAAATTTAAATATTTGCCTAGTCATTTGAAAGCAGAATCTGAAAACAATGACGCTTTTTCAGGTTATATAAATTCGTATAATCTGTGTCAGTGGTTCATAAAAAGTGCTCCATAAATCTTTAGGGTTCTTTTAAAGGGACTCCAAGAGTTCGGACTTATTTTAACCTATTATTTTTTAAGCCCGTAATTATAATTATATCTAGTAAATGTTTCATTATTTATCTAGTATTAGGGTTATTTTTAAGAAATTATTTAATTATACTGCCAGTTAGAAAAAATAGTAAAATTTGAAAATGTATATAATTCTTTTAGTAAAATTACCTTGAGTTAATTATGAAAAGGATACCAATTAATAAAAAATTGATTTGTTTCTTGTTTATAAAAATTGATTTATTTCTTGACATTATAAAAAAAAAAGATTTATTTCTTCAGATTAAATATTTTTAAAATAATTATTAATCCATTCATCATAGTTAGTAATATATTTGTTTAATCTATTCACAATTTTTAAAGAGCTTTATTTATGAAGTCGGTTTTCCGTTAAAAGAAGGGATTTTATTTAGCGTTTCATAGGTTAAGAAAGTTGGAAATTGCTAGTTTAGATTTCATTTATATAAATTAAAGTCAAATTATTTAGGACATGATTCTGACTTTCAAGCAGTTCAATAAAATTTCTCTCTCAACACTAAAAATATTGAGGAAAACCAAACTGAATAATAAAAAAAAAGTAAAGAATTAAATAAACATTTTCAATACTAGTATTAAAATTTATTTTTCATAAAATTCCCAAAAGCATAAATTAAACAATTTATGAGAAAGCATAAATTAAACATTGTATAGCTGTCATTAATTGATTAGCTAAACTTAGCATTCTTCTAAATTAAGGACATTCTTTTAGTGTCAATTTGTAATAGTAAATTTGTTAATCCAAAATAAGAATAATTAGACAAAAATAAAGTCATGTTGTTACCACTCTCATCTTTTTTTATTATTGTAAATTTTTTTACCGACACTTATGCTTCTAATGCATGAAATGTTTCGTGTCTGTTGTGTATGCTAGATTTGAGATTACTTGAATTAGTAGGGCTTATTTTAAAGTAATTTATATAAATTTTATAACTTTTTAATTTAGTAACAGATTTCTCTTCATGTTAGTGAACAAGCTGATATGGTTTTTTTACAAGAAGTAGTGCCAGAAACGGCTGAGAGTCTTCTGAAAAATTTATCTGGCTATGAATGTTTTTTTGGAAATGAAGTTGGTTACTTTGTTGCAACTCTTTTAAAAAAATCTACCGTATCTCATTCAGACTTGGAGATAATTGATTTTCCTAACACAAGGATGATGAGACATGCTTTGAAAATAAATGTAAGTTATTCAAATGATGTTTTTTATAATGTTGCTAGATTTATTTATTTTTTAATATTTCCCGAATTTAATTCATTTGTTTATGTTTACAAAAATTATTTATTTTTCCTGTGCAGTACATCATAGTATTATTATTTTACGGCAGTTAACTTCAAAAATGCTTATTTTTAAGCTTTTTAAACATATTTAAAATCATGATTTTTTTTTTCCTTACAAAATGTTACTTGAATTGCATTGTTTAATTGATAGAAAATCCATCATACGAAAGTAAGACTGCTATAATTTTGTCATAATTAAAGTCAACTGTGAAAAATTTAAATCAGTTCTTTTTTCAACAGCATAGTAAATTCAAAATTTGATAGAAAAACCATTTATGTTTGCAAAATAGCTCCTATTAATTGAAATCTGTTATTCTTCTCAAAATTCTGAATGAGAGACTAAATAAACAAGTTCATAATTTTTAAAACACTGAGTATAGAAATTATATGTTTTTTCTAAAGAAAAGAAAACTATATGTATATATTGTTTATGTCCTTTAGAATATCTGATTTTACTGTTCATTCCCATGTAGGAATTTCATTTCCAAGAAAATCACTTTCTAAGGAGATCTTAAACATTTTTATGTCTTTAAAACTAACATTTTCCCATTGATAATAAATGAGTGGATAGCATTAGCCTCAAAAAATTATTTAAACCTTTTAGCAGTTCAGACTGACTTTATCAGTTGTTCTCACAGAGATAATATTTTTAAATAAACATTGTTAAATAATCTTTATTGAATAAAAGGCAATAAAAGAGTGTGATTTGGTAATCAGTGAATAAACACGTACATGACTAAATAAAAAGGTTATTTATAAAAAAAATAATTGTGAATGATAATAGAAATCTGATATTAATTAAATTGATGAACTAAACCACATTTCTCGTTTCACTGCTGCATATTTGATTAAAAAAATTCATTTAAAAAAAGTCACAGCTTTTTTTCTTTTTAATGTGACTTATTTTTTATTTGTTTTAAAAGATTTGGCAATGCATCCAACAACCCAAATATTTGTCAGGAACTTTATGTTGGGAACCTTGGTTTAATTTCAGTGTAAAATCTTACTTCTGCAATCTGTTTTTTTTTTCCCCGAAAAAATAAATAAATACATAAAAAAATTAAAAAAAATTCCCAAAGATAACGTTTTATATTATGTATCTTTCAGTTTTATTTAAATATTTCTAAAATTATATTTATTTTTGACATCTTTTTTGTTTATAAGAAACTCAAAATAATAATAAATTTAGTTACATATGTATCATAACAATATTGATTTGTATTTAACTGTTTTTCATTAGCCTTATTCATTCAATGAAGTGAGACTGTTAATTCAATTTCAGGCAACTTTTAAGGGGCACACATTTTGTCTGTATAATTCACATCTTGAAAGTACTGCTGAAGGTGCTGAAGAAAGAGTCGAACAATTACGAACTATGTTTAAAAAGGTATCATCAACAAATGAAAAGCACTCTGTGATATTTGGTGGAGATTTGAACCTCAGAGATAAAGAGGTATATATATATTTTTTTCAAGCAAGAACTTAAATAAAGAAGAAAATAATATTATAAACACAAACAAAAATAGTTAAGACATACTGATAATTTGATTTTATAAACAGTAACGCTACCACAGTGATTCTCAACCCTTTTTTTTTTCCGACACTTTTAACGATTTCGAAATTTGATGGCACACAATGAAAAAATTTAGATTAAAGGTTGTTTACTTACCTATTTTACACTGTGTTGAATAGTTTGTGATAATAATTTTGAATGTGAAATAAAATAATATGTGCTACAGAAGCATGTTTATTAAGGGATTAATTATTTCTTTAAACTAATTTCTTATTAGGTATTAACAGTTATTTATTTATTTTTGCTAGTTATTAATTGTTAGCTTGTTTTCTATAGTTATTAACTGGTAGTTTATTTACATTAACTGTTATTTTTTTGTGATTTCTTGTTAACTAGTTTGTTTGTTTTTTTGTTAGTTATCCTTTGTCAATTTGTTTTTTATATATTTGTTTTTTAGTTATCCTTTGTTAATTAATTGCATAGCTTACTTTAATGATTAGCTTTTTTTTTTGTTTGAAAGTTAATATTTAGCTTGCTTTCCTTTGTTAATTAATAATTTTAACAGTCATTAAATTTTTTACTTATTTCAACATTTTTTAAAATTGTGTGTCAAAGACAATTTAAGCACTTGTATCTTATTTTAACTTATTTTAAGATTGTCAGAGACAAGACAATCGCTGACAAAGATGTTACAAAGCGTGGAAAAACTTTAAAATATGTCTATATAAATGCACTTTTCTTTAATTTAAACTTTACTCATAATAAAAAAAAGCATTATAATTTTTATTGTATCGTTTCTAATATTTGGCGGCACATTTTAAGAATTTGGCGGCACTCAAAAGTGTTGTGGCACAGTGGTTGAGAATTACTGCTCTACCATCATGCAAAAAAGTCAAACAATCCCAAAGAAACAACGATTTCAAACATGTTTATAAATTATTTGAGATCTTTTCTTCCCGTTATTATATGTCTTATCACTGATTTTATATTAATGTATATTATTAAAACTTCTGTATAGCTATTAATTATTTTTATTTATGCTTATTGCAGTGTTTAATGCCTGATTTATTTTAAAACATACAATCTAGAATCCGTAATTTAGAATCTTGAGAAACTATTAAAAAATATTCATAATCACAAAAAAATTGGCCACAATCATAAAGATGTATAAGATAAAGAGAAAACTAAAAAGAGACAAACTAAGAAGCTAAAAAATAATTTTTAACTCCAAACAATTGACTTTGACCGATGATTAAGCGATCAAAAAAGTTTAATTTTATTTCTTTGAAAAGGTTCATTGAAAATTCCAACATTTTAGAAATTTTTTTTTGTCTGTTAACACTTTGTTTAAAAAAAGAATATTAATATTTTTAAATTTAAAAACTTTTTTAATTTGTTCCTGTCTTTCTTTTATTTTTAAGATTAGATTTAGTTTGAAACTTGAATGTGAAATTTAAGTGGTGTAAAGAGATATTCCCATAGTGCAGTGCTTTCCAAACTTTTTTTAGTCGCAATACTCCCCCAGCCAAAGTATGTTTGATTGATTCTTAAATAAAAGATAATTTCTTAAAATAAGCAGAACTCTTGTATCTGTTATTTAATAAATTAATTATTTGTTAGTCATTAATTTGAGTTTATTAAGACATCAAAGCTCCTCGATCAGCATCTTTGCATACTTCGAGAATTACTTACGCATTAAAATTGTGAATTTAAAGGATCATGGTTATTAAAATGTCTAATTTTAAGAAAACTGGTCGGGATATATATTAGATTTTGAATTCTCTTATAAATTTCTAGTAATAATACTCTTGTAAATCTTATCTATTTCTATTAAGTGATTTTGGATTGGTCGTAAAACCTTTTAACTTTAGATGTTTAAAGGTATGTAACTAATAATTTTTTTTTTTTTTTTAGGTAGTGGCAATTGGTGGATTACCATCTGGAATTGAAGATCTTTGGATATCTTGTGGAAAGCGCAAGGAATGTGCTTATACATTTGACTTAACTCGGAATGATAATCTTCTTTTTAATGGGAAGTTTAAACCCAGGTGTCGTTTTGATAGAGTTTATTTTCGTCCTTCTTCCCCTAGAAAAGCCAAACCAAAATATTTTGGACTTATTGGTCTTGAAAGACTTCTTCCTCATCGATGTTTTCCAAGTGATCACTGGGGAATCTTGAGTCATTTTAAAATTGAGTAGTATATTAATTTTATATATGTATCATTTTGATAAAAGAATTGATATTGTCTATTTGGTTAAAATTTATTTGTCATACTTTTGACATGACCAATGTTTTATGCTTATTTTAAAATATTTTTGGTTTTGTTAAGAATGTACATTTTTACTATTAATAACTTACAATAGATCATGCAGTTTAAATGTATTTTTCAGTTGTGATTTTTACTGTTATAATTTTTTTAAAAAATAGTTATATTTTTCATGTTAAATATGATTCTGAAATAAGTTTTTTTTATTTTTTTTTTAATATAATTCTATGTTGATAAATTTAATGTTTGGAATTTTTATTTAATAAAATGTAAATACTTCACTTTTTATGTATGATTATTTATTTTGTAAAAATTTCATTATATTATAAATGCTTCCCTTTCATTTGAGAATAAAATTTCATAATTTAGTTTAATTATGTAATAATGTTTAAGCTAAAAGTGTATAAGTTGTAGGAAAGTAAATGTTGCAAATATTTTCTCTCTCTTTAAATTGTATGAAGTGGGCAATTAAGTAGTAATGTTATTACAATGGATTATTTTTCAATTGATACATGGATAATTTGGATTTACAGTGATTGTCCCAAAATTTACCTTTAACCACAATGTTTTTATTTTATAAGTAATTTGTTTATGTCCCCTACTTTTTGCTTAATTTTTGATGTTGAAAAAAAAATCCTATTTTTATAAGTAACATTTTAAGATACTTTTTTTCTTTGTTTATTGCAAATTCATACTTTGTGAGTCTTTAAAAGCTGCAATCAAATGGTACTCTTTTTTTTTTTTGTATGTATGTTTACAATACTCATTTTTATTTACACTTTTTTTCTCAAGTCAGTTAATCATAAATTTAGTGGTCATAAAATAAATTTGTACATCTGCATTACCAAAATAATACGCACATAATAAAGAATAATAAAATGTTAAGAGTTTAAAACTTAAAAACTAAGGCAGGAAAGTCATGTTCTCATTTTTCGAGTTTAGGATGATTTAGAATATTTTGATGATTCTTTTGTTAATATCCCCTGAAATTTCACAATGTGCATAAAGATGTTCTTTCTTGTCCTCAAAACTCTCCAGATTTAAGTTGCATGAAAAAGAATTCTGGGAACATCCTTAAAAACTAAATGAAACACCTGTTATAAAAACAAAATAAATATTCAATACATTTAAATCACATGAAATTTTTCTTCAATTTTTGACTTCCTAAATAAGATTGAGCAATTTTTTTATTGATTAAAGTAATTTTGAAAATACAGCATTAGTCCCAAATTTTTCGATACAGGTTTGCCTCCTGCAAAAGCCAGTTTCCTTATGTTAATCAATGGAAGAGTAGTGCACAGTAGGGAAGTTTCAATACAATTTTATCTAGGGGCTCAATGATTGGAGGATTAAAACTTAGCAACTTATAGTTTTTTACATTTGAACCTACTTGGACTGTCAATAATTTATATTAATGAGAATAACTGGTTGGAACCGCTTCCTTTTATATATCTGCTTGTGTCTCTTTAGAGAAAAGTTAATAAACAGCATGTCCATCTAATATAAAAGCGGAGATTGTGATCCTTAGAACCTGTGTATCTATTTGTGGAAATATTGCAGTGATAAATAAATACTTACTATAAAACAGTCAAATTTACAATATGTTTTATTTAAGTAAGAGATAACAAAGGCTTTACTATAAAATCTGTTTCTTTCGTTCTGCATTATTATTTTTAATTTTTTTTATGTATTTATACATTTATCTATTTTTTCTTTCAGGAAATGATTTTCAGTGAGAAATGTATTCGTTGTAAATATAGTTTTTATTCCCTTTGATTTTTATAAAACTTTTTATTTCAAATGTATGCATAGAAATTTTTTTTGAAAATGCAACCGAATCAGCAGCATTATGTTTAAGTTCACTTGTAAAGTTTCTTTTAAAATTCATGTGCAGTAGCTATTTATATTGTAAAACAATATTCAATAAAATTCAATTAAAGTTTTAAGGTGTTGCAATATTTCTATTAATGTAGTTCTATTTATAATGTATATTTTACTTTAGGAAATAATTTAATGAAGATATATTAGGCTCAATCATTAGAATTTCATGTTTTTTTTTATTGAATAAAGAAAATTGTCATTTTAAACAAAATATAATGACTTTTTTAGTTATACTATTGATATTTTTATTGTCACTTATATTGATCACTTAATTATCATTCAGTTCCCAATCTTTCTAAATGATTATGATAAATATTAGTAAAATAAAGTGAACTATTTTTTGTTTTATGGAATTAAAAATGTGACAGCATTGCTTTCATAAACTAAAACCAGGTTGTCAGACTACTTAATTTATTTTCCTTTTTTTACAGTTTTTATAATCATCAACACTTGCACTTTTTCTGCAAACATCCCCCCCCCCCATTTGGGCCAACGTGTTCTATCTGTTATTTTTGCTTTTTATTTAGTTCTCTTTTTGAGTTTGAGAGTGGTGCCCTATTTGTTTACATATTGTTTCACTGGTTTCATTGTTTTAGCTACATTTCTAGGTGATACGCAAGGAGAAACTAACTTTTCACATGACTGAAAGATAAAATATTTATGTCAAATTTCCTTTTCAATCATTTTTTTTCCCTATACATAAAATCGGTTTATTTACGCAGATATAAAACTTTAATTTATCTCTATTAAGACGTATTCACTGATTCTGAAAAAATGAGGAATTTTTCTATAATATTGCGAATTATCCTGGGGGCCCAGTGTGGCCCTTTCATCATTCACAAAATTCTTTTGGAAGAAGCACTGTTATTTTATTAATAATTTCAAAGACTTATTTTCAGTGATTTTTTTTAACTAAATTAATAGAAATTTAAAAAAATACTATTAAAATGACTTTAAGAATTTAGTGTTTGTTTAATACTGATTTAGGGAAATATTAAAAAAATGAACACATTAGAATAAAATTACATTAATTAAGAATATAGAATGTGTCACTTAAGAGAGTTAATACTTGAAGAGCTTGGCTTACTCGAATTAGAATGAAAAGAACATTTGCTAACGTAAACAAATGCCAATTTTCAGCATCCAATCAGTATCGAGATATCCCCCGTACAGCGCTTGCAGGAATCCTATTCTGGGTTTATTCCTAAATATTCTTTAGTTTTTTCCCCTCGTTCAAAAACAATCAGCTTCTTTGTATCACAATTGGTAGAGGTACAGATGTGATCAGATTTTTAAACCATGCTTAAAGAACACCAGTTGACTGCTCACATATTTATGGAAAATATTAATTTAAAAGTCATTCTCACTGTATGCGTTGCAAGAGGAAAAAAAATGGAGAACTTAATTAGGGAATTCACGTGGAAGTATTTTCCATCATACAGTTTCTTATTCTCCCATGAAAGTGTTTGGAAGCATGTGAGCAACATTTTGTACGAATCGTACAGTGATTAACTATTTACCTTAAAGTGATTACTGTTAAACAGTTTTATCACCTCTATTGACGATCGAAATAGGTTACAGGTGGTGTAGAACGGAACTCTCTACAAATGGCGAAACTTTGCTTTCGCCATTAGCGTTTGGAGAGTCATAGGAGAATAAAGTATGTTAGTTTATCTCTTGATTTTTCAAGTCCCGCAGTGGACTGATCGTTAAAACACGGTTCCCAGCAGATCACCGAAGTCAAGCATTACAGGCTGTCGTCAGTGTGCGTAGGGACCGAGGTTGTGCGGTTTTGGTCCTCGTTAAACTGTTATACCGTAAAGTGCTCGACTTCTGCAGGTCGTCGGGCTACCGAAGCAGGGGTGCCATCCCCTCCGCAGAGGATCAAAATTGTGATGGCATGTCTTAGGATTATCCTGAGGGATGTTTCCCAGACCGTCGCCAATAACCCATTGTGCAGCCCTAGTGCGACGTAAATGAACTACAACAACTTGATTTTTCAAGCAGATTAAAAAAATTTTAAGTTAGGAAACTATATGGAACTGAAAATTACATTGAACATAAACCTGAAAGAAAACGTCGTTGACTTTTTCAAAATATTTTTGACTAGTAAATATAAAAAATATGGATGGTATTTTCTACACTAGGTAGCGCTGCAAGCTCCATACTGCCTATATTTGCGGGTTACTGTTTCTGGTGTATTTTAAAGCCATTTGACTCACAACGTGATCATAGTGTTATGAGTAGGACTGGGCTTTAAATCGATGTATCGCGACATATCCATTTAACGCCTATATCATCAAGTGGATACAGCGACTTTCGTTCCAGGCGATGCATCAGAAATCTGATTTAAGTCTTCGAGGAAAGACGATGTAAGACTCGCAAGGATCTTCCCTTACGTTCCGATGTCTACTCGGGGTGTTCGTTTCGTTGTGTATGTTGAAATGGCCTTGATTGATTAGCGGGAGAATCAGAACCAGAGTTTTGAGAATACTATATCGTGATCTCGCATGATCGTTTTCGCACCTCTTAGTTTTCTTTGTCGCGACTTGATATCATTTCTTGTAGATTATTTTCAGTGGGACTAACTTCGTGATCGCTGCCATTGCCTTGTTCTGAACGCAATCTTTTATTGAAAAGAATTTATGAAGAGTTTCGTCATTAATTAGGAAATTATTTTTCAACAAAACTTTTTCTTTTAAATGTGAAAATTATTGGAAATCTAATTTAAGGCGCCCATAAAGAATTAAGTAACAAAGTAATTAAATTTGTTAGGTTTTTTTCTTTTCTTTTAGTTTATTAAAAACTTTTTGGATAAAACTTGTAATAAATTAATGGGTTTTTATTACTGATTTTAAATTTATAAACTGATTTTAAATTAACTGATTTTAAGTGATAAACTTATTTACTGATTTTAAATTTGCTTTTGTTTTTAGAAATAAAGTTAAAACAAAACTTATTTTTTGTCATTTGGATTTGGACATAAGTCAATCAACTTCGTTTATTCCAAAAAATTTGAAAGGTTTGCGAATTTTATTCATATTTTTCGTTTTATTAGAGAGTACAATCAGTTTTTTTAAATTTTCTTTTAATATTATTAGTTAATTAGCTAAATATATTATCGAATATCACAATTCTTTTGTTTTTATTTTTAAGAAATTAAACCTTACTTTGTTTTTCGTTCATAATTCGGTCATTATTCAATTTAATGTAATTATTTATGTGAAATAATGATAATAAAAAATAGGGATTTAAAAGCGTTTTATTATTATTTATTTTTTTTAAATTTATTTAGCACTTTGTTTTGAACTTACAAATAATTTTTAACGAACTTATTTTTTAAATTTTCTTTCTATATTGTTAGGTAAATATATTGATAAATTTCTATTTTATTTATTTTTTTATTATTTATTTTTAAATTAGGAAATCTTTCGTTATTCATTTTTGATCATTTTTAGAAAATATAACAAAACTTGCGTTTACTTTTTCATTTAGAATTTGAACATTACAATCGAACTTAATAATTAGGTAATTATCAAAGTTAATTTTGTATAGCTCATTTATTAAAATTATTTTTTATGGCTTTAAACTTTTTTTCAAAATTTCATTCACTTAAACTAATTGATTTTCAAATAATTCATAAACCTATTGTTTTAAACTTTCTTTTATTTCTAGTTAAAAGCTTAGTAAAGTTACCTAATAATTACCTAAATTAATTAATAATTTAGGTAATTAGGTACTTAATTAGACTGTTAATACCTTATAAACGATAAAGAGGTGCAAATATTTCATTCTGTATCTACACATTTTTTCAATAAATATTTTAAGTAAGTTTTGTGCATAGTAGTTAATTTATTTAATATCTTTCTTAAGCAAAACATATATATCTTCAAACTTATAAATTGATTTAAATCAATTTGTGTATGGAGTTTCGATAGAAATCTGACTTTCTGTGCATTACAAGTAAATGAAATTCAAAAATACTATATCGCGATACATCGCTATATCGCGATGCAAAACTGACGATGCATCACGATATATAATTTCTAATATCGCCCAGTCCTAGTTATGAGATTCTTTCAAACGCGGTATTTGATTACTTGTGTTTACAATACTAAGAATACTTGTGTTTACGATGTGAAAGGTGCTAACAGTAGCGTAAGATGGACAGCTTGCAACAGAGCCGTTTTTAAGGATGGGCCCTGGCCCAGGGCCCCGAGTTCTGATGGGGCCCCTGAAAAGTGAAAATCTCATTGCATTTTTTATTATTTCTTTTTTTTTATTTCTAACTCAATTATTATTTATAACTCAAGAGGGCCCCCCAGATCCCACTTTTTTTAAAGTTTTATTCAGATTATTTTTTCTTTTTTGCATAGTCGGATGCTTTTCAAAATCTAATCGAAGTGTTTACAATTATAAAATAATAGTTAAGTTATAATAGTTACAATTATAAAACAGGGTTCCCACGCTCCTTAAAAATCCTTAAGAACTGCTTAGTTTTTATTTTGAAAATTAAGGGCCCTTAAAAGTACTTAATTTTAATTCAAGGTTCTTAAAAGTCCTTAATTTCTAGTATCACTAGTTGGTTGGAACAATTTTTATATCTTAGAAAAATATCCACTGTTAAAAAGTACGACTTTCGCCTAGAATGAGATCCTGCATCGAGGGTAGAACATTTGAATGCATGTGAGGGTAGGGGTTACAAGCAAGTAGAAGAAAACACGCTCTTATTGTTTTTATTTTATTATCAATTTTTTTCATTAAAATATTTTTTCTTTCTGGATCATTCTGAAAGAAAAAAATTTAGTGTGGGGAGAGGGGAGCGTGATACTGCAGGTGGGTAGAGGTCTTGACTTATTTTTAGACAGTACTTAGAGGTACTTT